GGGAGCTGGGCAGGGGCTGGAGAATCCCTGAGGGAGCTGGGCAGGGGCTGGGGCTGGAGCAAAGGAGGCTCAGGGGCCCTTGTGGCTCTGCACAAGTCCCTGCCAGGAGGGCACAGCCGGGGGGGTCGGGCTCTGCTCCCAGGGCACAGGGACAGGAGCAGAGGGAACGGCCTCAGGCTGGGCCAGGGCAGGCTCAGCTTGGACAGCAGCAGCAATTTGCCCATGGCAAGGGAGCTCAGGCCTTGGCAGGGGCTGCCCAGGGAGCTTTGCAGTGCCCAGCCCTGCAGGTGTCCCCTGCAGGTGGCACTGAGTGCTCTGGGCTGGGGACAAGGTGCCCATGGGGCACAGCTGGCGCTGCATGGGCTGGGTGTAATTCCCAGGGAATAATTTGAAAGAATAACAAATGTGAAAGTCATCCTGACTCAAATCTCACCTATTTCTTCCCAAATCCTCACAGTTCACTGGTTTTGAGCCAATCCCTACTATACTGAATTGGGATCTCCCCTGACAAGCAAACAGGGAATAAATGAGATTCATTTCAGAAAGGAAAAAAGCCTTCAAAAAAGCATCAAACGAATCTGATGGAATGAAATGGAGAAGTTGTGCCCAACTGAGCAGCTGAGCTGCCCCAGGCTGGACGGGGTCCAAAGGGCTGATCAGGCACTGCAGCAGCACAGGCTCCACACCAGTGCAGGAGCTGCAGCAAAGTCAGGATCGTGTTCAGTCCTGAGGGTTTTTCCCCAGGGCTTTTGAGTGATTTTCCTCCTGAGAGACCCTGTGAATAACCTCCCCATGTTTGTACAATTCATTTTCTGTGCTTTATTCATTCTGCAGAATTGATTTTCCCCAGAACTGTTCCCTCTGACTTGCAGGAATGCCACACAGAGGTGAGCCCCTTCCAGCTGGGAACATTGCTGCTCTCTGAGGATCCACCTGCTCCCTGAAACGGGGAGATTTTCCCATTCTCAGTCTCTATTTCAGCTCCTCACTTCTTGTGGCAGGTGGATTTGTGGGTGGGTTTGTTCTTTGGTTGGGAATTGCTGCTGGAAGCACATTTGGGATCCAATAACCTGCAATAAACCTGAGTTTGTTCCTCTACGTGCCTAGAAATGGTGACATCCAGAACAACAATTACACTTAAATGAATTATTCCAAGCCTTTCCCTCCAGTGTTTGTGCTGGATATGCCATAGGAGCAGACACAGATCCCAGAATCCCAAATCCCTGGGGCTGGCCCAGCCCTGCCAGCCCATGCAGTGCCAGCTGTGCCCCATGGGCACCTTGTCCCCAGCCCAGAGCACTCAGTGCCACCTGCAGGGGACACCTGCAGGGCTGGGCACTGCAAAGCTCCCTGGGCAGCCCCTGCCAAGGCCTGAGCTCCCTTGCCATGGGCAAATTGCTGCTGCTGGCCAAGCTGAGCCTGCCCTGGCCCAGCCTGAGGCCGTTCCCTCTGCTCCTGTCCCAGTGCCCTGGGAGCAGAGCCCGACCCCCCCGGCTGTGCCCTCCTGGCAGGGACTTGTGCAGAGCCACAAGGGCCCCTGAGCCTCCTTTGCTCCAGCCCCAGCCCCTGCCCAGCTCCCTCAGGGATTCTGCAGCCCCTGCCCAGCTCCCTCAGGGATTCTGCAGCCCCTGCCCAGCTCCCTCAGGGATTCTGCAGCCCCTGCCCAGCTCCCTCAGGGATTCTCCAGCCCCTGCCCAGCTCCCTCAGGGATTCTCCAGCCCCTGCCCAGCTCCCTCAGGGATTCTGCAGCCCCTGCCCAGCTCCGTTCCCTGCCCTGGACACGCTCCAGCCCCTCCAGGTCTTTTCTGAAGACTTCGAAGAAATGTCTTCATTAAGTCCTGTTTTTATTTTAATTTTATTTCCACCCCCTGTTACTTCCAAGCATACAAGCCCAAGCCAGCACCTTCCCGAGCCAGTAACTCCAAAGGCTAAACCAGGGAGACAGGTAGCAGGATTCTGTTCCTTTGTGCCCCCCTGTTTAGAATTCCCTTTGCCCTGGGTGTGAGCTGTTCCCAGCCTCCCAAACCCCCTTACCTGGGAGAGGAAAATGAATGCAGGGAAGGAGTGGACTGGGGAGCAGCAGTGCAGCCTAGGGGCCACCACCATGCCCATCCTGAGGGGCTGAGAGCTGGGGTCTCTGGGCTGCTGGAATGGCCCCTGGCACCCTGGAGAGGGGGCCCTGGGGGCACCTGGGGAGCTCCTGGAGTTCCTTGGATTCCTGGGGGAACTGCAAGAAGCTCCTGGCTCAGGAACTCCTCAGCATTTAGCCCAAGCCAGGCACAGTGAATCCCGTGCCCTGAAGTGCTGCCTGAGCTTGGACACCCCACAGCTGCAGAGCCTGGGCACAAAGCTCCCAGCAACGCACCAGCAAGGACCCAGTGCCCCTGTCCTGCACCCCAGTGCCCTGTCCTGTTCCATCCTGTCCCCCCTGTCCCATTTCCCCAGTGCCCTGTCCCATTCCTCCTGCCCTGTATCTCCAGTGCCCTGTCCCATTTCCCCTGCCCTGAGCTGTCCCTTCAGTGCCCGTCTCCTTCCCCTGTCCTGTATCCCCAGTGCCCTGTCCCATCCCTCCCTATCCTTTCCTGTCCCTCCAGTGTCCCTGTCCTGTCCCCACAGTCCAGTGCTATTTCCCCAGTGCTCCTGTCCCATTCCCTGTCCCGAGCTGTCCCCCCATGCCCTGTCCCATCTCCCATCCTACTGCCCCATTCCTGTCCCTTTTCCCATCCCATTCCCCCATTTCCCATCCTATTCCCCCATTCCGGTCCTGTCTCCCGTCCCATTCCCATCCCATTCGCCCATTCCTGTCTCATTTCCCATTCCATTCCCCCATTCCTGTCCCCTTTCCCCGTTCCCTTTTCCCATCCAATTCCCCCATTCCCGTCTCCCGTCCCATTCCCCATTCCCCCCGCGCTGTTCCCACTCCAAGCAGCTCCCATGAGGATCTGCCATGGCAGCTCAGCAGCTGCCCCGGGCCCGTCCCCTCCGGTTTGCAGTGACAGAGCCGGGCCCCGGGGGCCACCGGAGCATCCCGGGGACGGCAGCGGGGGCTGAAGGGAAATTCCAACACGAGGAAACCGCGGGCCAGCTCCGTGCCCCCCGGCTGTGCCCGCCCGGCCAGGGAAGCCGGGCTGGAGGAGGGCAGCGCTGCCGGAGCTCCCCGGGAAGCAGCGGGAGCTTTGGGGCGGTGGGGCGGGACAGGGGCGACCCCAACTGCAGAGCCCGCCAGAGGAACCCGGGGACTGAGCCGCGGCGAGCCCTGCTCGGCACCGGGAGCCCGGGAAGCGCTGGCTCAGGTTCGGGGAGGTTTTGGGGACATTTGGGGGAATTTGGGGACGCTCGGATCGGGACACCCGGGGGGGGCGGGGCGCGCTCCCAACGGCCCCGCGGCGGCCGCGCCACCAGCGCCCCCCGGCGGCGCCGAGCGGAACTGCAGGAGCCGCGGAACCCCCGGCACTGGAACGGAACCGGCACCGGGGAACGGAACCAGGACCGGGGAACGGAACCAGGACCGGGGAACGGAACCGGGACCGGGGAACGGAACCGGGACCGGGGAACGGAACCGGAGAACAGAACCGGGACCGGGGAACGGAACCAGCGAACAGAACCAGGACCAGGGAACGGAACCGGCACCGGGGAACGGAACCGGGACCGGGGAACGGAACCGGGATCGGGGAACAGAACTGGGACTGGGGAACGGAACCGGCACCAGGGAACGGAACCGGGACCGGGGAACAGGACCAGGACCAGGGTTCGAGTGCTGGGACAGAACTGGGACCGGCGTTGGGGCTTGAGTGCTGGGGACAGAACCGGAACCGGGGTTGGTGAGCTCAGGACAGAACTTGAACCGGGGTTGGTGAGCTCGGGACAGAAGCAGGCCCAGCCGGGGCCGTTCCCTCTGCTCCTGTCCCTGTCCCTGTCAGCAGAGCCCAGCTCCCAGCTGTCCCCTCCTGCCAGGAGCCGTGCAGAGGGACAGAGGGACAGAGGGACAATGTCTCCATGCCCCAGGGAAAGCAGCCCAGGAGCAGCAGCAGGAACCTGTGAGCACAGCACAGATGCTCGGTGTCCATCCCCACCAGGAGTGTTCCCAACAGCACCAGCCATTCCTTCACCATTATGTGTTTTATTGAGCTGGGACTCGGGGTGGGGTGAGGTTCACGAGTTCAATAAATACTGCAGAACTGCCTGAAGCCCCACGGAGTTCGAGCAGGGAGGGAGTACAGGAGCAGTAAATTGGTAAGAGGCTTAAAAAAATCTAAGAACTACCTGAGGTGGAGGAATGGAGCTCCCTGAAAAGAGATGGTAGGTGACCTTCACCAGTGGCATGTGGCCCTCACAAAATGGCACCTGACCCGTGGCCAAGGACAGCACTGGCCCCCCTGCCAGGAAACTGCCCGAGCAATTAGATCAAATTAGTGAATTTAATGCAGAATAAAATGCAGGGCAGCAGCTCTGCCTTTCCTGGCCCCACTGGAGGACACTCAGCCAGTGCCAGGCTGTCCTGGCCAGCTGAAGAAGAGCCCACGAAGCACCATCCCTTCCACCCATCTGCTCCTTCCAAAGGCATTCTGGGAAGGCCAGAGGAGGGACAAGGAGAGGGAGCAGCAGCGGGACAGGAGGCTCTGGCAGGGTGGGGACACTGCAGGAGTGCCAGCAGCTGTCCCTGTGCCCTGGCAGACACCCAACACTCCTACCCTGGGGGCTCCCAGCCAAGGAAAAGGGACCAGCCAGCTGTGCTGCTCCCCCTGGCACACGAGGAGCAGTCTCTGGTGACTGCAAGGCACAGTCTGGAGCGCCCAGGACAGACCTGTGAGTGGCACCAGCACCTCCCTGTCCCCAGTGCCACCTGCAGGGTTCCATGGAAGGCCACACAGATTACTGAAATCCCTGGGAAGCCCAGCTACTAAAGCTATGCTCACCCCATCCCTGTGGATGGGGACGCCACACCACCCCCTCCCAGCCCCAGCCCCAGCCCCAGCCCCAGCATCCTCACGTTCTTCCAGATGCTCCTGTCCCAGCAGCTCCAGCCAGGGGCAGTGGCTGTGCTGGATCCCTGGTGATCCCTTAGGAGCCACACATGAGGCACTCCTCCCTGTTCTCCAGGGAGCACACCATGGCTGCCTTGTTCCTCTCCTTCTCCTCCTCCTCCCTGGACGCCTTCTCCCGCTCCCGCAGCTTCTCCTTGTTCAGGGTGAACTGGATGGGGTTGGCAGCTGGCTTCGTCCTCAGGTAGTACATGCCAGTCTTGAGGCCCTGGGGACACAGGAGCTCAGGGCTGGGGGCAGAGCAGCACCCCCAGCTCTGGGGACACTGCAGAGAGGCACCCCCAGCTCTGGGGACACTCCAGAGCAGGCACCTCTGGGGATACTCCAGGGGAAAACAGGATTCTTGGAAGGAAACAGCCATTTGCCCTTCCCAAAATCATTGAGACCAACTTACTGTGCCAGAACTTACCAGTCCCTGTGTGCCAAACTTACCAGCCCCCCATTTGTTGGGAACAAGCCCCCCCAGTCCCAGGTACAGCTCTTTTTTTTGGGGGGAACAGGCCCCCCAATCCCAAGCACTGGCCCTATTTTTTGGGAACAAGCCCTTAATCCCAGGTAATGCCCCTGGTCTTGGGAACAAGCCCCCAGCCCCAGGTAATGCCCTGTTTTGGGGAAGGAGCCCCAAGAATCCCTGTTCTGGGGAAGGAGCCCCAATAACCCCAGCTGATGCCTTCTTTGTGGGGAAGGAGCCCCAATAACCCCAGCTGACACCCTGCTTTGGGGAAGAAGCCCCAAGAAACCCTGCTTGTGGGGAAGGAGCCCCAGTAATGCCAGCTGATGCCCTGTTTTGGGGAAGGAGCCCCAGTAATGCCAGCTGATGCCCTGTTTTGGGGAAGGAGCCCCAATATCCCCAGCTGATGCCCTGTTTTGGGGAAGGAGCCCCAAGAATCCCTGTTCTGGGGAAGGAGCCCAGCTGTACCTGTTTCCAGCCATAGAAGTGCATGCTGGTGAGCTTCCCATAGTTGGGCTCAGCAATGTGGATGTTCAGGGACTGGCTCTGGTCGATGAAGGCCCCTCTGTCTGCAGCCATCTTCAGGATGGTTTTTTGGGAGATCTCCCACACAGTCTTGTAGAGCTGTTTCAGGTCATCAGGAATCTCAGGGATGTTCTGGAAGAACAGGAGGAGTTTGGCAGGGTGGGAAGCACTGACTGCTGGGGCTCCAGCAATTCTGACTGGAACTGAGGCCTGTACAGCTGAGCTCTATCCCTGAGTCTAAACACAGAACCCCAGAACAGTTTGGGTCTGGAGGGACCTTGAAGTTCACCCAGTGCCACCCCTGCCATGGCAGGGACACCTCCCACTGTCCCCAGTGCCCAGCCTGGCCTTGGGCACTGCCAGGGATGCAGGGGCAGCCCCAGCTGCTCTGGGCACCCTGTGCCAGGGCCTGCCCACCCTGCCAGGGAACAATTCCTCATGGCCAAGATCCCACCCAGCCCTGCCCTCTGGCACTGGCAGCCATTCCCTGGCTCCTGTCCCTGCATCCCTTGTAAACTGTTTCTCTCCATGTTTCCTGTTGGCTCCTTTAGGCCCTGGAAGGCCACAATTAGGTCACCCTGGAGCCTTCTCCAGGCTGAACAACCCCAATTCCCTCAGCCTTTCCTTGCAGGACAGGTGCTCCATCCCTCTGATAACTTGGTGGCCTCCTCTGGACATCCTGTGTCTGCAAACACCCTCAGCTCCCCCTCAACAGTTACATGGACAGGCTGGATATTGTGAAAGGTTCTTCCCAGAGGGTGCTGGCACTGCCCAGGCTGCCCAGGGAATGGGCACGGCCCCGAGGCTGCCACAGCTCCAGGAGCCTTTGGCCAGCGCTGCCAGGGATGCCCAGGCTGGGCTTGCTGGGCTCTGGGCAGGGCAGGGCTGGCACTGGGGGATCCCTGGGGGTCCCTACAGCTCAGGCCATTCCATGACACTCCCTGCTATGAAACCAGCCCTTTGTCTCTTCCTGCTAGGGGGGAATCCAGAGGGAGCAGGAGGTGCCTGGCAGCAATGCCTGCCCTGCTGCCCCTGTACCTGGATGGAGCCGTTGTGGGCGATGATCTGGTTCTTCATCTCCTCGTTCCACAGGCCCCTCTCCGTGAGATCCTTCAGCAGGTGGGGATTCACAACCTGGGAAGGGCAGAAGTCAAAGGTTTTTAAATGGTTGAACAAATCCTGCACATTCCTGACAGACCCTCACCCCTGGAAGTGTTCCAGGCCAGGCTGGACAGGCTGGGAGCAGCCTGGGGTGGTGGAAGGTGTCCCTGCCATGGCAGCTCTGGAACTACACAATCTCTGAGGTCCCTCCAAACCATTCTGGGATTCTGCTGGACATGGCAAATGAGAAGGGGGCAGCATAGAACTGCCCTGCATGAGGAGCTCCAAAAGATGGGAAAAGGAGAGACCTTGCTGTTACAGGGGCACTGGCCACAACCTGAGATCCTAAAGAAGAGTGTAAACATCCAAGAATGGTGTCAGGAGGGGAGGGCAGGCTGAGTACTGGGAAGAAAACACAGCCCCCTTTTCCTGCTGGGGCTGGGGTCCCTGTCCCCCAGCCCCACACAGAGAGGCAGGGCAATGATCCTGCTGTTCCACCTCCCCACTCCTGTCTGGGGTGGTCCTGCAGCCAGGAGGAATGGAGAGCACTGAGACACCCCAGAGGGGATGGGCACACCTCCCAAAGAGGGACAGCCTCCCCTGGTCTCCACAGGGGGCTTTGCTAACTCCAGCCTCCAGAACCCAACCTGTTTCACTCCCTTTCCTGCCTGACAGACCCCTCTGAGCCCGTGGAGCTCTTCCATGGTCCCTTCAGACCCTTGAGTGCTTCACAGCTCCTTCTCAGGACTGTGGTCTCAGTTTCTCCTCCCACGTCCCTCCCATGACATCACCACCCCCTCAGCAGTTATTCCTGCAGCCCACATTAGGGCCCCACAAAGGCTTTTCCCAGACAAAAGCAGCACTCGTTGATAGTTTCTCCTATTCCCTGGCGAGGGTGGGACACACAGAGCTGGACTCCTGCAGCACCCAGCGCTCCAGGTCCCCTTGGTGCTGAACTGAGCCCCAGGTGTGAGGCCTCCCCTTGTCTCCCTTAGCCATAAAACCTGAGGCAAGAGCAGAGCTGCTGCCCAGAGCTCACCTGGAACTCCCCCGAGAGGACCCTGCGTGTGTAGATGTTGCTGGTGTAGGGCTCGATGGACTCGTTGTTGCCCAGGATCTGGGCAGTGGAGGCCGTGGGCATGGGGGAAATGAGGAGGCTGTTCCTGACACCGTATCTGGGGACAACAGGACACGTCAGGGAGCTGCAGCCAAGGGACACAGCACAGGGAAGAGCCAGGGACAGCAGGGAAATAAATCTGGGATAACCTGCAAAGCCTCACATCGCCCGGAGGGAAAAGGGAAGCACCACTGAACTGGCACTGGGGAACAAGTGCAAGGGGAACTGGGGGCTTTGCTGTTCTCACCCCTCACCAGAGGCTTTCCCAAATGATCCAGTCAGGGGTGGGGTGCAGGGAAGACAATCTGCCACAGCCCTGAGGCAGAGCTGAACCAGCCGCCCATGAACAGGCTGAAACCTCTCCACACACAGGACAGGGGACAGGTTTACCACATTTAAAACTTAGAGCCAAACAGACAGACTCAGTCCATGACAGGCACTTCACACTTCAGTGATTCCTGTCCTCAGGATGTTCAAGGCTCAGCTTTTCCCTGGCAGCAGGGGAGAGCCCCAGGGCCAGCTCATGGCTCACTCCTCACTATGTTTGTTTAATGGGAACACAAATCCTCCTGCTGGAGGTATCCAAAATGGAATTAGAGCTCAGCTAAAGCAGAGCAGTGAGGGTGGGCTCCTCAGCCCTGGAAGGACAAAAAGGAAAGAAAGCCACCCAAAAAACAGCTCAAATGAAAGATCTGCTGGGTGGGGGGAACACATGGGGCTGTTTTTACACTTGGACACTGCCTTTAGCTCTCAGTAGACAGAACTTATCAAATCCATATCCAAAGCCAGGCTGGATGGGGCTGGGAGCAGCCTGGGACAGTGAAGGTGTCCCTGCCATGGGAGGGGTGGCACTGGGTGGGCTTTGAGGTCCTTCCCACCCAACCCAGTCTGGGTTTTATCTGACATCTGCTACAAACCATGCAGGGTTACTCACTTGGCAATCTTCTCCTTCAAAGCCTTCCAGTCCCAAAGGTCAGAGGGGGTGACATTCCACATGTCATACTGAAGGATCTGAGAAACAGAGTTTGGTCCAAATTAGAGAGGGAACTCTCTTCTCCATGTTTTATAAACCCCATTGGAAATGGACCTGTCATTCCTCTTAATTCTTCTCTCCCATTAGATGTCGGTGAAGCTCTGGTATGACCTAACAAACACTCCATCTTGTGACTGCTCCAGGGCACAGCCAGCACAGGCTGAGTCTGCTTGTCTTTTCAAATCACAGAATCCCAGAATATCCTGAGCTGTAGGGACCCCCAGGGATCCCCCAGTGCCAGCCCTGCCCTGCCCAGAGCCCAGCAAGCCCAGCCTGGGCATCCCTGGCAGCGCTGGCCAAAGGCTCCTGGAGCTGTGGCAGCCTCGGGGCCGTGCCCATTCCCTGGGCAGCCTGGGCAGTGCCAGCACCCTCTGGGCAAGAACCTTGCCCTGCTCTGCAGCCTGAGCTGGCCTGGCCCAGCCCCAGGCGCTCCCTGGTGCTGTCCCTGTCCCAGAGCAGAGCTCGGAGCTGTCCCTGCGCTGCCCCTCGGGAGGAGCTGCAGCCCCGGGGAGCTCTGAGCTCAGGCTGCTCCAGCCTGGGCTGCCCAGGGCACCTCGGGGGGCCCCTCCTGACCCTTCCCCAGCCTCGTGTCCCTCCTCTGGGCTCTCTCTTGGATCTGTCTGATACTGAGACACCCAGAACTGTCCCAGCACTGGAGGTGAGGCCAGCCCAGAGCAGAGTGGGACAATCCCTTCCCTCTGGGCAGTGATGGTGTCCCCAGCACAGGGATGTCCCTCCTGGCTGCAGGGCACTGCTGGCTCAGATCCTGCTGCCCACAGACCAGGTCCCTGCAGGTCTCTGCAGCAGCCCAGGCACAGGATCAGCTCCCCAGAGCCTTCCCCTGTCCCGTCCCTGGCACTCACCCCCTTGCTGACCGGCGAGCCCTGGTAGGTGTCGTAGGGGCCCTGCTCCCTGGCCAGCTCACAGCTGGCCTCCAGGGCCCCATAGTAGATGGTCTCAAAGATGTGCTGGTTGAGGAGCTGAGCCTGGGGGCTCTCAAAGGGGAACCTCATCAGGATGAAGGCATCAGCCAGGCCCTGCACGCCAATGCCGATGGGCCGGTGCCGCCGGTTGGAGCGCTCGGCCTGCGGGACAGACACGCGTCACCTCCAGCAGGGACATGCCACCTCCAGGACAGACACACATCACCTCCAGCAGGGACATGCCACCTCCAGGACACATCACCTCCAGCAGGGACATGCCACCTCCAGCACAGACACATCACCTCCAGCAGGGACGTGCCACCTCCAGCACAGACACATCACAGCACGGACACATCACAGCACGGACACATCACCACCACAACAGACACATGTCACCACCAGCATGGTCACACCATCCCCAGCACAGGACACATCACAGCATGGACACGTCACCTCCAGCACAGGGCACGTCACAGCACAGGACATGTCACAGCACACACACGTCACCTCCAGCACAGACACGTCACCTCCAGCACACACACACACGTCACCTCCAGCACGGACACATCACAGCACGGACACGTCACCTCCAGCACAGACACACCACCACCTCCAGCACAGGACACGTCACCTCCAGCACAGACACATCACAGCACGGACACGTCCCCTCCAGCACACACACACCACCACCTCCAGCACAGGACACGTCACCTCCAGCACAGACACGTCACCTCCAGCACAGACATGTCCCCTCCAGCACACACACACCACCACGTCCAGCACAGCTGGGAAGGGCCCCAGGGAGCAAAGCCTCCTGCTGCAGCACGCCAGGAGCTCTGCATCAGCACTCCTTCCATCCTTCCATCCTGCCACTGCCTGCTGAGGCCAGACTGAGTTTGTCAGACCTTAGCACAGACTGCAATTGCTTAACCCAGCAAGGAGAGGCAGGATTTAGAAGAGAACACTCAGCACTTTCTGATAAATGAAGACATTTAATAGGGCAGAATCACAGAATCACTGAGGTTGGAAAATCCCTCTGAGCCTACCAAGTCCAACTGTTCCCCAGCAGAGCCAAGGCCACCATTGACCATGTCCCCAGGTGCCACATCCACATGGATATTAAATCCCCTCCAGGGATGAGGGCTTCACCACTGCCCTGGGCATTCTGTGCCAGAGCTGGACAGCCCTTTCCCTTAAAACATTTTTCCTAATGTTCAACTTAAACCTCCCCTGGCACAGGTCAAGGCCATTTCCTCATGTCCTTTTCCTTGCTTTCTGTGAGCAGAGCCTGACCCCCACCTGGCTGCCCCCTCCTGTCAGGGAGCTCTAAAACCAACCAAAATGAGTTACACTTTCTCAGGATCTTTCCAGGATCCTTCTCTCTGTTCCACCTCCCTCTCTGTGCCTACTGCTGGTCTGTGCCTCGTGGAAATCCTCACACATGAAAAAATTCCAGTGGCAGAAGCAGAGTGGGAAGCTTTCCTACAACTGCTTCACCACAGAGCTGCTCTGGGCTGAAGCTCAGGCAGGCACTGACAGGTCCCACCTCGGAACAGGTGGTTTATGGAGTTCCCAACAGGTCTATGGAGTTCTTCTGTGATTCCTTGTGCCCCAGACTGCTCTGGGATTGCTCTGGGCAGGATTCAGCCCTACTCACCTCTGGCACAGGGTAGTAGTTGATATCAATGATTTTGTTGAGGTTTCTGACGATGACCTTGGTGACCTCAGCCAGCTTCTTGAAGTCGTAGGTGTGCTCGGGGGTCACGTACATGTTCAGGGCGATGGAGGCCAGGTTACACACAGCCACCTGTGGGCAGAGATCATTGGGAATGGGACTGGAACACACAGCTCTGCCCCAAACCCATGGGAACCACCCGCCAGGGAACCTGCCAGGCTGGGAAAGCGCACCCCTTGCTCCTCTGGCACATCAGAACTTGTGCAAAAGGTAACGACAATTCAGGAAAGTTCAGTAGAAATTGGTATGGCCAAAAAAACCCTGCCCTGGTCAGTCCTACTGCCTGGAAACCATCCTTACACTGAATCCCAGAGGGATCTGGGTTGGAAGGAATTTTTAAGCCTGATTTGTTCCTTGTCACTTTCCCTTTGAAGGGTGTCTTGTGTCATCCCAAATCCTCCACAGGAGTGGGAAGAGAACCCACAGTCAGTGGAAGGGCTGTGAGTACTCAGGTCAGGAGTTACTCAGCTGCCTGCTCCCTTCCCAAGCAGCAGTTGGACATATCCCAGATATCTGCCACAGGAGCACTCCCAGGCAGGCAGAGCTGCCCCAGGAGCACTCCCAGGCAGGCAGAGCTGCCCCAGGAGCACTCCCAGGCAGGCAGGGAGCTGCCCCAGGAGCACTCCCAGGCAGGGAGCTCCACAGGAGCACTCCCAGGCAGGCAGAGAGCTGCCCCAGGAGCACTCCCAGGCAGGCAGGGAGCTGCCCCAGGAGCACTCCCAGGCAGGCAGGGAGCTCCACAGGAGCACTCCCAGGCAGGCAGGGAGCTCCACAGGAGCACTCCCAGGCAGAGCTGCCCCAGGAGCACTCCCAGGCAGGCAGGGAGCTCCACAGGAGCACTCCCAGGCAGAGCTGCCCCAGGAGCACTCCCAGGCAGGCAGGGAGCTCCACAGGAGCACTCCCAGGCAGAGCTGCCCCAGGAGCACTCCCAAGCAGGCAGGGAGCTCCACAGGAGCACTCCCAGGCAGAGCTGCCCCAGGAGCACTCCCAGGCAGGCAGGGAGCTGCCCCAGGAGCACTCCCAGCCCACCCAGCACCCCGAGCTCCCGCTCTGCACCCACCTCGTCCTTGCTGGTGTACTCCACGATCTCGGTGCACAGGTTGCTGCACTTGATGGTGCCCAGGTTCTGCTGGTTGCTCTTCCTGTTGCAGGAGTCCTTGTAGAGCATGTAGGGGGTGCCAGTCTCAGTCTGGGACTCGATGATGGCGTACCAGAGCTGCTGGGCCTTCACCACCCTGCGCACGCGGCCCTGCCGCTCGTAGCTGCGGCACACAGCGAGGGAGCCCTGTCAGCCCCCGAGCCCCCAACGCCAGGGAGAGGCCTCTGAGCTCCTCGGGGCCTCCTCCCTACTGAGCTCTGCGTGGGGAGCCCTCAGAGCAGGGCAGCAGCACTGCCCTTGTTTAAGGGGAGCCAATCTTTCACTGCAGCAGCCACACAAAGCCATGGAGCGCTCCAAGTGGGGATCGCTCCTGGATGTCCTTCTGACAGGGACACTGTCCCCCTAACAGGCTGAAATGGTCATTCACACACAGCTCCACCCTGACACATCACAGTGTGAAGGACACAGCCCCATCCTCACATTTTTATCAACCTGACAGTGAGTTCAGTGGGCACCTCTGAGCCCTTCCCACAAACCTGTGCCACGGCCCCACATCCCACAGGACACAGGCAGCTCTGGGAGAGGATGGCACCACTTACAGGTCTGCTCCTCCTCTTACCTCTCATAGAGCTTCTCAAATTCCTCTCCCCAGACATCATCCAGGCCAGGACACTCATTTGGGCACATTAAGGACCAGTCCTGTATGGGGAAAAATATTCAGAGGAAATCTTTAGGCACTCTGTTAATTAAAGCTGTGGCTACCCCAGCCCTGGAAGTGTCCAAAGCCAGGCTGGATGGGGTTTGGAGCAATCTGGGACAGTGGAAGATGTGCCTGCCCATAGCAGAGGGTGGCACTGGATGAGTTTTAAGGTCCCTCCCAAGCCAAACTGGTCTGGGATTCTGTGAAATACAAGCAGGCATAAGAACAATTTACTGAGAAAATGTTGATGTCTTAAGGTTTGGAACCCCAGAGTCAAAATAGCCAAACAGTCCAAGAACAAGCCATGGGCTGTGAGATTAAGGCCTGAAGCAAAACACTGAGCTGGAGTTGCCCAGCTCCATTCTCCACCTGCAGAGCCAAGCTCTCAGACAAAGTGCAGCAGCTCCTCCAGGAAGGTCCTGGAAGGAACAAGGAGCAAAGCAGCTCTGCAGCCCTTGCTGAGCTCCTTCAGGGCTGCTCACCTGCTCCTCCACTACCAGACCTTTCCTGCACCAGCCAAGTTCTCACCTGGTTGGTTTCCACTCGCTTCATGAAGAGATCAGGGATCCAGAGAGCAAAGAACAGGTCCCGGGCCCGCTGCTCTTCTTTCCCCGTGTTCTTCTTCAAGTCCAGGAACTCAAAGATGTCCAAGTGCCACGGCTCCAGGTAGATGGCAAAAGCCCCAGGTCTCTGGGACACAGAACACAATCTGGATCAGAACAAACCGTCCTTGGAAAGAAACCTCCTGCCCTGCTCCTGAGTGCCCACAACACCCCAAAGCAGCTGGGAACTGGGGGGCAGCACCAGATACCAACACAAGGGGGAAAAAGCCCTTTTGTGATGATGTGTCACCCACAGCCACTCCATCAGCTCCCTGACGTTCATGGCACAGCCCTAGCAGCGTGGAAGCTCTCCCATTACCCAAGGCTCCCTGCTGGAGCCTGGTTTCAGGTACCTTGTTTCCACCTTGATCCACGTAGCGGGCGGTGTTGTTGTAGACCCTCAGCATGGGAACCAGCCCGTTGGAATTCCCGTTTGTCTGCAGAGGCACAGGAAAACCATCAGCAAAACTCCATGCAGGGGCTGGCCTGCACCTCCTGTGGGTCTTTCCTCAGGCTGCAGAGCTCTTACACCAATCACCACCAATTATTTCTAGTCCTTTCCCCACACTTTTTATAACAAAAATGTATATATCAGCCACGTGTCCCAGAATTAATAAAATGTCCCTCCTAACTTCCTTGCCCTACATTATGTCACCTAAAGGCTTGCAGGGTTTACACACACTGTGACAAGAAACCCCAAACACACATCCAGAGAAGGTCTGGGGCAATTAGAGACACAGAAAGGCAAAGGGCTAGTGCACAAGTCTCTGGGCATATTCCTAGGCTGCTAACAAGCAAACATGGGAATTGTCTGACCAAACAGTGGAATAAGACCCTCTTTCTGGAAGGGTTTCTATGAGGAAGCCAAAACACCGAGGAAAACCAACCTTGCTGCCTTAGGCCAAGGGACAACTGAGGGAGGCTCAGTGCTGTGTGAAGTGAGAGAGGCAGCACTGGTTTGGCATCTCCTGGGAGCAGCAGCTGTGTCCCTGTGCTGTCCCTGTGCTGTCCCTGGGGTGACTCAGAGAGGGACAGGCACTCACCCCAGCAATGTAGCTGCCCGTGGCACGGATGCAGCTCACAGCAAGGCCAATGCCCCCAGCAGACTTGGAGATGAGGGCACACTGCTTCAGGGTGTCGTAGATGCCTTCGATGCTGTCATCCTTCATGCACAGCAGGAAGCAGCTGAAGGAGACAAATGGTTTCAGCAGACAAAGATGGGAAGGAAAGGTCATCAGTGTTTCATCAGGCTGCAAAAACCAGGGCAAACATGGGACCTTCAGCATGCTCCAGAAAGCAATCCCACAGGTGTGGAATAAAGGACAAAACAGAAAACACCATGAGCAGTACTTGTACTGCTGATACCTCTGCTACCAAACATTTTTAATCGTGGAATACCCTGAGCTGGAAGGGGCCCACAAGGATCAGAGTCCAATTTATGGTCCTGCACAATCCCACCCTGGGCATCCCTGGCAGCCTCGGGGCTGTGCCCATTCCCTGGGGAGCCTGGGCAGTGCCCAGCACCCTCTGGGGAAGAACCTTTTCCCAGTACATTGATACAAATCTTTATAAAAATATAATCCTTTTCCTGATATATATGATATCAAAACCCTATCAGTTATGCTTGCTGCTTTTAGGAAACTAAATTTTTAGAAACTAATTTTTAGAAAATTACCAGGATTCATTTGGTAACCTGCAGCAGACTATGCACATCAGGAACTATCCAATACAACACAGCCATGCAAAGGTTTCCAATATCTCTGGAGCTGACAGAAACCTGGGCATTTTCCCCCAAGGACAGCTAAAACTTGACAGCAGCTGCTCAAAACATCACAAAACACATGCGGGAACGCAGCTGCTCGTTTCAGAGGCTGTGCACGTGTGACACTTGAGCAGGTGTGACCCCCAAGGCTGTGGCAGGCAGAGGCAGAGCACCTGGAGAGCTGGGGGCGGTTGGTGCCGGCGTTGAAGAGCGTGGGCGAGGCGTGGGTGAACCAGCGCTCCGAGAGCAGGTTGTACGTCTCGATGGCCGCCTCGATGTCGCCCTTGTGGATGCCCACGGCCACCCTCATCAGCATGTGCTGGGGACGCTCAGCAACTGCAGGGACAGAGCCAGCAATGCCAGGGCTGCCTTGGGAGAGACCCCACAGCCCACCCAGGGCCACCCCTGCCATGGCAGGGACACCTCCCACTGTCCCAGGCTGCCCCAACCTGGCCTTGGGCACTGCCAGGGATGCAGGGGCAGCCACAGCAAATCTGGGAATTCCACCCCAGCCCTGCCCACCCTGCCAGGGAACAATTCCTCATTCCCAATCTCCCATCCAGCCCTGCCCTCTGGCACTGGCAGCCATTCCCTGGGTGCTGTCCCTGCATCCCCTGGAAATTGTCTCTCTCCAGCTTTTCTGGGGCTCCTGCAGGCCCTGCAAGGCCACCCTGAGCTCAGCCCAAAGCTTCTCCTGTGCAGGTGAACAATCCCAGCTGTGCCAGCCTTTCCTCCCAGCAGAGCTGCTCCATCCCTCTGCTCATCCTGGAGCCTCCTCTGGGCTCTCTGCAGCAGCTCCAGCTCCTCCCAGGCCTGGGGCACCTCTGCAGATGGGAAATCACCTGAGGGGCACAATCCCCCTTTCCTGCTGCCCACCCTGTGGGATCAGCCCAGGGCACAGGGATTTTAGGATGCCAAGGCACGTGGCTGGGGCATGCCCAGCCCCTCAGCCACCAAGCAAACCCAGAAGACTCCATGTGACAGTCACAGGGTGATGGCAGCAAGCTCCAAACGCTGCAGTGGGACACCTGAGCCAGAGTTTTCATGGAATCACAGAGTGATTGTCCTTGGAAGGAACTTGAGCTCTCCAGCCCAACTCCTGCTCAGAGAGCACCAGGCCTGTTAATTCAGGACTTCATCCCATCAGGCTTTGAAAAACTCAAGGAACAATCTGCTCCAATGCTCAGCTGCTCTCATGGAGGAGGGAAAAAAACCCACCTGTATTGACAATTAAATTCAATCAAATATGCAGTCCAGAATCCAATTATGTTTCAGCTTTATGATATTATAATTAATCTCTGACCGTTCTGGTGTCCCAGGATATCCAAGCCAAGGGCCTGCATCACTGGTAGCACTGTACCTAAACTTGGCTTTAATTTAATTTAAACTAACTCAAATTTTTAAGAAGTGCTCAGCACTAGGAACAGCCCTTACCTTTGGAGTTGATTTTCAGCAAGTAGGAGCGTTCTAAAGTCTTTAAAAGAGAGGATGGATTTTAGCAGACAGGCAGATTTCAATTTTTTAAAAAACCCTGTCAACTCCAAACTCAACCATCTCTACATCCCTCATCCCAGGCTTCACCAGCCCTGCATTCTGCTGCTCCTCTCTTTATTATCTTACTTAGGTGATTGATGACTGAAAGTACACAATTCCATGGGAAGATTGAACACTGCTTTGGATTACAGAGTGTGGAGCAGGGCAGGAGGTTCCACACTGTCCTGAACCCACAGGAGCTCCCTTCCCAGGGCCCTAAACCTGAGGCAGACCCAAGCCCCAGCAGCAAAGCTGAGCTGGGTGGGGGCAGCAGAGCACCCTGGGGTGCTGTGGGGACACATCCCAGCAGCATGGGGAGGATAAATGTGTGGGATGAGATCCTGAGAGAACTGCTCCACTGAACAACGGGAAAAGCAAAAATCCCTTCACTGGCTAATTGAGGATTAGAGTATTTCCTTTGGGAATGGCATCCAACAACTCTGACTGGGATGTGCTGTGAAACCCAGCCCAGCAGTTCAAATATTCCAGCAGCAAGAAAACTCCATGACTCATCCCACTGGGCAGCTGCTTAGTGCAGCCCCCTTCACCTTCACAGCCCTGCTGATGTCCCACTCCCTCCTGTGCCCCTCTTTGCCCCAGTCCAGATGATCCCACAAGCATTCCCACCCTTCCCAGCAGACCCAGGAGCAATGTGCTCTTTACCTTAAAGCCAAAGTAGTTGTAGGAGAAGTCCCTGTCGTAGATGATGGCAGAGTTCAGGCGCTGGCAGGAAATAACAGAATTGACTTTTACAAGGTGTAACAATGTTATTTACACCTGCTGGCATTCCTGGCCCCAAAGCTCCGCTGTGTGAGGGGCACCAGAGCACAGGAATGAAGCAGGAACAGCACTTCCCTCAAAACAACAAAAGCACAGCTTCAACAACCTTTTGTCACTCGGTTTTTGGCTGAACTGACTGAAATCTAATTGGACAACAAGAAACAAAACACAGAACCAAGGGACAAAAAGAACTTCCTGGTCAGAACACAGACCTGGAATGACTTGGAAACTGAACCCAAAGCACTTCTCTCCCTCCTGTGCTGCCTCCCTTTGCTGCAGCACAAGGTACTTCTTCTCAAATTAATTACTTGTGCTGATCATGGCAGTGAAAACAAATTTTACTACAAAAACATCCACAGAGGAAGAAAACTCCTATATCCCCTCTTACACCCTCCACTCATGCCCTGCACTGGTTTCTGGGCTGTTTTTTTACCCTAAAACAAACATGGCTTGCTTAAAAATAAGAAAAGCAAATTATTTAGGTTTTCAAAATCCAGTGCAATGGTTCAGAAGTGAAAAGAACTCTAGTACTTACATCTTTGTTGGCCAGAACTATGTCCAGAGTCTCTTTGGAGATCATTGGAGAGTGCTTCCCGTTGTGAGGGTTGATGTAGGTGTAGAGATCCTCCATCACATCTGTAGGGAAAGGGATGTGAGCAGGACAGGTCCAGGCCTGTCCCTGCAGTACGTGGCACTGGGATTCAGGGATGGGCAAGGCAGGAAAGCCCTGGGAAATAACCCCTCCAGCCCCTCAAACACACAAGTGCTCTTCTGCTGCTCAGCACTGCCAACCTGAACCACCCCCTTCTACAAATTGTGTCAAAACCCCACTATAAAAGGTAACAAATGGGGAGGAGAGTGGGTACAACCTGATCTCAATCCACCACATTTTTCACCATGCCGTTTCTACAACTGCTGTTCACAAACCAGGCAATTCCATTTGCCATGGGAAACTCGTGGCATCATCCCCAAGGTGTTTTTAGCCAGGATCTCCCACTTGAGAGATCTCCCCATTTCTGTGCTCCGAGCCTGCCGCTGTGTGCCTGCCCCCAGCAGCTGGAGGCCATCACCCACCACTGAAGACTTTCTTGGTCTCCTTGTGCAGGTTGGAGACGGCGATGCGGGCAGCCAGGATGGCGTAGTCGGGGTGCTTGGTGGTCAGCGTGGCCGCGGTCTCTGCGGCCAGAGTGTCCAGCTCCACCGTGGTGACCCCGCTGTAGAGCCCCTGGATCACCTTCATGGTGATCTGTGCCTGCAGGGGGAGGGAAAGGCCGAGCTCAGGGAGCCCCTGTGCTCCTGCACCACACGGATCCAGCACCGCGAGCTGGGCGGGGGGAGAGCAAACGGGGACAGGGACTGGGAACGGAGCAAACGGGGACAGGGACTGGGAACGGAGCAAACTGGGACAGAGAGTGGGAATGGGGCAAATTGGGACAGAGACTGGGAATGGAGCAAACTGGGACAGGGACTGGGAATGGAGCAAACAGGGACAGAGAATGGGAATGGGGCAAATGGGGACAGGGACTGGGAATGGGGCAAACGGGGACAGGGACTGGGAATGGAGCAAACTGGGACAGGGACTGGGAATGGGGCAAACGGGGACAGGGACTGGGAATGGGGCAAATGGGGACAGGGACTGGGAATGGAGCAAACTGGGACAGAGAATGGGAATGGGGCAAATGGGGACAGGGACTGGGAATGGGGCAAATGGGGACAGGGACTGGGAATGGAGCAAACGGGGACAGAGACTGGGAATGGGGCAAATGGGGACAGGGACTGGGAATGGGGCAAACTGGGACAGGGACTGGGAATGGGGCAAACTGGGACAGGGACTGGGAATGGGGCAAACTGGGACAGAGACTGGGAATGGGGCAAACTGGGACAGAGACTGGGAATGCTGGGCAGGGGGAGAGCAAACTGGGACAGAGACTGGGAATGGGGCAAACTGGGACAGGGACTGGGAATGGAGCAAACTGGGACAGAGACTGGGACTGGAGCAAACTGGGACAGAGACTGGGAATGGAGCAAATGGGGACAGAGACTGGGAATGGAGCAAACTGGGACAGGGACTGGGAATGGAGCAAACTGGGACAGGGACTGGGAATGGAGCAAACTGGGACAGGGACTGGGAACGGAGCAAACTGGGACAGGGACTGGGAACGGAGCAAACTGGGACAGAGACTGGGAACGGAGCAAACTGGGACAGAGACTGGGAACGGAGCAAACGGGGACAGAGACTGGGAATGGAACAAACTGGGACAGAGACTGGGAATGGAGCAAACGGGGACAGAGACTGGGAATGCTGGGCAGGGGGAGAGCAAACTGGGACAGAGACTGGGAATGCTGGGCAGGGGGAGAGCAAACTGGGACAGAGACTAGGAATGGGGCAAACTGGGACAGAGAGACTGGGAATGGAGCAAACTGGGACAGAGATTGGGAATGGGGCAAACTGGGACAGAGACTGGGAATGGAGCAAACTGGGACAGAGACTGGGAATGCTCCTGGACATGGACTGGGGACAAGGCCTGCAGGGACAGCACCCAGGGAATGGCTGCCAGTGCCAGAGGGCAGGGCTGGATGGGATCTTGGCAATGAGGAATTGTTCCCTGGCAGGGTGGGCAGGCCCTGGCACAGGGTGCCCAGAGCAGCTGGGGCTGCCCCTGCATCCCTGGCAGTGCCCAAGGCCAGGCTGGGCACTGGGGACACTGGGAGGTGTCCCTGCCATGGCTGGGGTGGCACTGGGTGGGATTTAAGGTCCATCTCAATCCAACCCAGTCTGGGATTCCATCATTATGGGGTAGGGGCTGGTTTAGGAGTTTGTGATCAGCCTTTTTTCCAAGCTTTTCTGGTGCAGTTTTTTCCAAGATTCAAGTGCTTATGACTGCCAGAGGCCTCAAAGTGGGTGAAACTCTGGAAAACCTCAGGATGGCTTAAAGCCCTGCATTTGTAGGGTGCTCCATGGTGATCCATGCAAAACCCTACAAATCCATGTAGGTGTTCCATGGGATCGAGAGCCCCGGGCTTATCAAGCCAAACTTGTCTGTCCCACTGCTCCCCCTCTGTGGGGAGGAGCACAGGCTGCACTGTGCCTGTCAGCTGGGCCCTGGGGAGCTGCTCTTCCCTGGAACTGCCAGCACATCCCTGTTCCCTGCATCCCTGGCAGTGCCCAAGGCCAGGCTGGACACTGGGGACAGTGGGAGGTGTCCCTGCCATGGCAGGGGTGGCACTGGGTGGCCTTGAAAGCCCATTCCAACCCAAACCCTGCTGGGATTCTGTGTAAGGATGGTTTCCTGGCAGTAGGATTGACTGCTCTCTACTGAACCTCTGTGAACTGCTGCTACTTTTGCAGAACTCGTGGGATTTACAGCCTTGCAGGGAGCATTAGCACAGGGTCTGGGAGGGGTGCTGCTGGCCTGGGAAGCTTCTGGCACAAGCAGATCCAAGTGCCAAAGGAGAAACAGAGCTCCAGAGAAAGAGGTCACACATGACTGCAGAATAAATTAGAATTCAGGGGCACAAGGAGGCAGGAGGACTCAGAATTTCACTTCTGTCCTCAGCATCAACTCCCAGTCACTGGGGGCAAGTCAGGGCACTTCATGCTGTGGTCACCAAGTCACCAGTGCCCTCCTCCTGCCCTCCATCCCAAAGACTTTTGGGTACAGAACCAATGGCAACTGGAATTTCAGACAGGAGAATGGATCATGAGAAGCTGGGAGATGGGAAGAGCCTTAACTGGTGACTCCAAATGGCCAGACTGGGTCTGGAACCTGCATAAAAACCTCACAGACACCAGTGGATCCACTGGGGAGTCATCCTGACACAGGCTTTGGACGGAGAAGCCTCCATGAGTGGGATCAATGCCCACCCCAAATCAGCTCAGAAAAGCAGGGATGTGGCAATGGCAGAGAATTCTGTCCTGCTATTTGACCAGGAGGGGATCCAGAGCTACTTCCATGTGTCATTGCTCCAGCTTTGCAGACTGACACTGGCAGCAACCTACCAAATCCAAAATATGGGAACTGGAGCAACAAAACTCGGGTTTTTTTTAACTACCAGGGGCTCAATGGCTTCTCCAAGGTGAGAAAGGGATCTAGGGCAGGGAAAGGGGATGTTCCCCTCCACAATCCCTGCACCTGGGAAGCAAAACGCCTCAGAGCACAAACAATTCCAACAAACCCATTCTGGATGCGTTTGCCAAGAGTTCAGGGAACCACAGAACATCCTGAGCAGGAGGGGACCCCCAGGAACCCCCACACCCAACCCGGGACACCCCAGGAGCTCCAGCCCCGGTTCCCACCCCACTCCTGCCCAGCAGAGGCGGGGGCATGGCACTCACAGGATCCACGAAGTCGGCGTTGAGGCCGTAGCAGAGCTTCTGGATGCGCGAGGTGATCTTGTCAAACATGACCCGCTCCTGGCGCCCATCTGGGACAGACACACACAACACACAGGGGCCAGCCCAGTGAGAGCCAGGTCAGAACAGAACAGCCCAGTGAGAGCCAGTTCAGAACAGAACAGCCCAGTGAGAGCCAGGTCAGAACAGAACAGCCCTACCCAGGCTCACCAGTGCTGCACCACTAAAAACCAGCCAGCACAGAGCACCCACTGCTGCACCAGTAGGAACCAGTCCAACACAGAGCACCCCAGTGCAGCCCCAGTAAGAACCAGTTCAGACAGAGCACCCCAGTGATGACTCAGTAAGAACCAGCCAGCACAGAGCACCCCAGTGCAGCCCCCCAGTAGGAACCAGTTCAGCACAGAGCACCCCAGTGATGCCCCAGTAAGAACCAGTTCAGCACACAGCACCCCAGTGCAGCCCCCCCAGTAAGAACCAGTCCAACACAGAGCACCCCAGTACAGTCCCCCAGTAAGAACCAGTTCAGCACACAGCACCCCAGTGATGCCCCCCCAGTAAGAACCAGTCCAACACAGAGCACCCCAGTGATGACTCAGTAAGAACCAGCCAGCACAGAGCACCCCAGTGCAGCCCCCCAGTAAGAACCAGTCCAACACAGAGCACCCCAGTACAGTCCCCCAGTAAGAACCAGTTCAGCACAGAGCACCCCAGTACAGTCCCCCAGTAAGAACCAGTTCAGCACAGAGCACCCCAGTGATGCCCCAGCCAGCACAGAACGCCCCTGCCCAGCCCCTCCCGTGGGGGAATTGGGTGTGGGAATCACCAGGGAGTGGGGTGTGGGTTCTTGGGTGGGTACAAGGAAAGGAGAGGCTCCCCCTCTACCCCAAGAATTCCCACCTAAAACTGCACCAACCCAATTCCCAGGGTCCCAATTCCCACCAACCCAGCTGAGGGTCACCCCTCAGCTCAGCCTGGGGACCCCTGGGACCAAAAGAGGGGGAGACCAACCCAAAGCTCCTGCCATGGGAGCCAAACCAAAGGAGAGGTCTCACCCCTCACTCTGGGTGTCGGGGGGAGCTCCCTCACTCTGGGCTCCCCCAAAGCTGAGGGGAGCCCATCTCCTCCCACCGGGGGCCATCAGAGCTGAGGGGATCCACCCTCCCATGGAGGAGAGGCGGGCGCCCTCTCTGCTCTCTGTGGTGCCATCAGGGGGACCCCCAAAGCCAAGGGGGTCACACCACCCCCTCACACCATGTGCCATAAGGCACCCCCAAAGCTGAGGGGGACCCACCCCTCACGTGCCATGAGGGACCCTTCCAAAATGGGGGGATCCCCATCTGCTTACCTTGGGTGCTACGCAGGGGCCCCGCAAAGCAGAGGGAACCCCTGAATGTGGCAGGGATTCCCCTTCAGGTGCCCCGAGGGACCCCTAAAACCGAGGGGTCCCGTGCCCACCCCCTGGGTGCCCTGGGCAAGACAGAGCCCCCCATCCCCGACACTCGGTACCCCCAGAGCAGCGGGGCTCCCCCTCCCCGGCCCACTGGCACCCCCGGGGCGGGGGAGCGCTCACCCCGCTTCACGACGTGCATGGTGGCGGCGGGTTCCCCTCAGTCGCTCTCGATGTCCGCCTCGGTCCCTCTCGGTGCCCCTCAGCTCCTCTCGGTGCCTCCGCGCCCGCCGCTTCCCGCGCCCGCCGCGCGCGCCCCGCCCCGCTGAGGCGGCCGCCGCCATCTTGCCTGCGGGCACGGCTCCCTGCCCGGCCCCTTCCCGCACCGCCCCGCTCCCGGCGCTGCCCGTGGCCGCGGGCGGACACCGATCCCGGCCCTCATCCCGATAATGTCCCCGCTTTCCCTCCGGGAATCGCCGCCGCGCTGGGGAACAACGCGAATCCTGCCCGCTTCAAAGATGGCGGCGCCAGCGCTCCCCTCCCAGCCGGGGAGGAGCCGGAGGGACAGGACGGGGCTGAGGGCGCCAAAGACAGAGCCCGCCGAGGGACAAAACAGCTCGAACTGAAACGCCAAAACAGTAATTATGTTAAATTTAATTATCCTGAATCAAGGCCCAGGCGTGATATGTGTGATTAAACTTTGGGTCCCACTGCCCAGGGAGCTGGTGGGGTCCCTGTCCCTGGAGGTGTCGAGGAACAGCTGCACAGGAACATCTGAGGCTCTGCTGTGGAACGGGCCCAGGGCACAGGAGATGCAGGGAAGGAGCTGAAATTACCAAAAGTTCTGTCCCAAAAGCAGCAGAGCTGCACCTGCAGAGCCTCCAGCCCTGGGACACCAACAGCAGGAGCAGCTGGAGCTGCTGGAGAGAGCCCAGCAGGGCCACAGGGCTGGAGCCAGGCTGGGAGAGCTGGGATTGTCCAGCCTGGACAGGAGAAGCTCCAGGCAGAGCTCAGAGCCCCTGGCAGGGCCTGCAGGGGCTCCAGGAGAGCTGCAGAGGGACTGGGGACAAGGCCTGCAGGGACAGCACCCAGGGAATGGCTGCCAGTGCCAGAGGGCAGGGCTGGATGGGATCTTGGCAATGAGGAATTGTTCCCTGGCAGGGTGGGCAGGCCCTGGCACAGGGTGCCCAGAGCAGCTGGGGCTGCCCCTGCATCCCTGGCAGTGCCCAAGGCCAGGCTGGGCACTGGGGACAGTGGGAGGTGTCCCTGCCATGGCAGGGGTGGGAAGAGATGATCTTTAAGGTCCCTCATAGCCCAAACCATTCCATGGATCTGCAGGTCCCGTGAGGGCTCAGGGCAGCAGCACCGAAGCCCTGCTGAGGTTCCTGTGCAGAACCCAGCCCCAGACACCATCAGTTCCTCCCCAGTCCTGCTCTGAGTGTCCCGGGAAGCAGGAGCTGTGGCACTGGGAGCCCAGGCTGGCAGGGAACGCCTCCTGTCTGTGGTTTGCAGCCTGTGAGGTTCCCCCTTCCCCACGCTGGGGGGAACAGGAGGCACAGCTAAATGTGGCACCACACCAGAAATGCTGGGGTTTGCTCCATGACAGGACAATGAACCATCAACCCTTTGGCTGAGGCCAATCCTGAGGGGCTCAGAGAGGCATCCCAGGGCTCAAGGGGCTGGAAATTCAGTTTTTTATTGCTTGTGGATGGGCCTCTGTCCCTTCCGAGGTGAGGGCGTTGGTTCCATTTAGATGCCAAGTTCAGATTCCAAGCCAGACACCACTGGGGGTTCCTCAGCCCCCAGGGTGGGTGGGAAGGTGCCCAATGCACCAGGTGAGCCTGGTCCTGCTCAGAGAGAGCCCCCCCGCAAAGATGGAACACAGGGAATGTTTGGAACTGACCAGGAAATGGGAATGAAGCTGGGCTGGTGCCTCTTTTACTGGAAAAGGGCCTACAGAAGAAAATAATCCCAAATGGCATTTTGGGCTGGCTGGAGCCTGAGCTGCACTCACAGACGTTTGCCCTTCAGTTCTCCTCTGAGTTTTGCTCCCCTGCTCTGAAAGCAGGAGTGAGTGGAGCAGTGGGTTCATTTCTGAGGTGGCTGCAGAGGAAAGGAAAGCCATGGTGCTGCCCCAGGACAGCTCCCACAGGAGGGCCTCAGGCAGGAACTGGAGCCATGCCACCACCTCTGAGCCCTGTCCACCTGTCCTGAGCCATGCCTGGATGTGCTTGCTGAGCCCTTCCTGGGTGTGCTGAGCCCTGTCTGGGTGTGCTGAGCCCTGTCCGGGTGTGCTGAGCCCATCCCGGCTGTGCTGAGCCCTTCCCGGGTGTGCTGAGCCCTGCCCTGGGTGTGCTGAGCCCTGCCCTGGGTGTGCTGAGCCCTGTCCGGGTGTGCTGAGCCCTTCCCGGGTGTGCTGAGCCCTGCTTGGGTGTGCTGAGCCCTTCCCGGGTGTGCTGAGCCCATCCCGGGTGTGCTGAGCCCTGCCCTGGGTGTGCTGAGCCCTTCTCGGGTGTGCTGAGCCCTGCCCTGGGTGTGCTGAGCCCTGCCCTGGGTGTGCTGAGCCCTGTCTGGGTGTGCTGAGCCCTTCTCGGGTGTGCTGAGCCCTGTCCGGGTGTGCTGAGCCCTGCCCTGGGTGTGCTGAGCCCATCCCGGGTGTGCTGAGCCCTGTCTGGGTGTGCTGAGCCCTTCCCGGGTGTGCTGAGCCCTTCCCGGGTGTGCTGAGCCCTGCCTGGGTGTGCTGAGCCCATCCCGGGTGTGCTGAGCCCTGTCTGGGTGTGCTGAGCCCTTCTCGGGTGTGCTGAGCCCTGCCCGGGTGTGCTGAGCCCTGTCTGGGTGTGCTGAGCCCTTCTCGGGTGTGCTGAGCCCTGCCCTGGGTGTGCTGAGCCCTTCCCGGGTGTGCTGAGCCCTGCCCTGGGTGTGCTGAGCCCTGCCTGGGTGTGCTGAGCCCATCCCGGGTGTGCTGAGCCCTTCTCGGGTGTGCTGAGCCCTGCCTGGGTGTGCTGAGCCCTGTCTGGGTGTGCTGAGCCCATCCCGGGTGTGCTGAGCCCTGTCCGGGTGTGCTGAGCCCTGTCCGGGTGTGCTGAGCCCTTCCTGGGTGTGCTGAGCCCTGTCTGGGTGTGCTGAGCCCTGCCCTGGGTGTGCTGAGCCCTGCCTGGGTGTGCTGAGCCCATCCCGGGTGTGCTGAGCCCTGCCCTGGGTGTGCTGAGCCCTGTCCGGGTGTGCTGAGCCCTTCCTGGGTGTGCTGAGCCCTGTCGGGGTGTGCTGAGCCCACTGAAGATCCCCTGGACGCCCGCGTGGAGGCAGCCGGCCCTAATGAGCGCTAATGAGCGCTAATGAGCGCCGGGCTAACGAGGAGCTCTCCCAGGGGCTGCGGGGTTTCAATGACCGCCGAGGCTGTGCGGAGCTCTGCCCCTGGAGAGGCCGCTGCTCTTGCCCAGGGAAATGTGCCTTGTGCTTTTCAGGGAAAACACGGGCACGGGGGGCTGCAGGGAGCGGGATCTGCCCCCGTGAGGGTGAGCTGAGACAGGGAGTGTGCACGGGAACATGGCAGGGCACTGCCAACACGGGGCTCTGCTGGGGCACGGCCCGTGGGATGGCTGCTGTGCCACCATCCCAGGGGATATCTGCTGCTGTCCCTGTGCCATCACCCCGTGGGATAACTGCTGTCCCTGTGCCATCATCCCAGGGGATAACTGCTGCTGCCCCTGTGCCATCATCCCACAGGATAACTGCTGCTGCCCCTGTGCCATCATCCCATGGGATAACTGCTGCTGTCCCTGTGCCACCATCCCATGGGATAACTGCTGCTGTCCCTGTGCCACCATCCCATGGGATAACTGCTGCTGCTCCTGTGCCACCATCCCATGGGATAACTGCTGCTGTCCCTGTGCCACCATCCCATGGGATAACTGCTGCTGTCCCTGTGCCACCATCCCATGGGATAACTGCTGCTGCTCCTGTGCCACCATCCCATGGGATAACTGCTGCTGTCCCTGTGCCATCATCGCGTGGGATGGCTGCTGCTGCTCCTGTGCCATTGCTGTCCCCCAGCCCAGCTGATGCCACCCATGGATCCCTTTGTTTGTCCTGGACACGTCCTGCACCTCAGAGGTGACTCTGGGGCACTCTGGGAGCAGGACCCAGCTCTGGCCCCTCAGTTTGGGAAGGACCTTGGGACCCTGAGCACATGCAGAGGGGCCAAGGAGGCTGGAGAGGGGCTGGGAACACAAACCCTGTGAGTGAGGAAGCCCTGAGGGAGCTGGGGGTGCTCAGCCTGGAGCAAAGGAGACTCAGGGCTGCCCTCCTCACTCTGCACAGCTCCTGAAAGGGGCCTGTGCTCAGCTGGCCCTGGGCTCTTTCTCCAGCAGCACTGACACAACCAGAGCACACAGCCTCCAGCTGCACCAAGGGAAATCCAGGCTGGAGAGCAGGGAAAAGGTTTTTCCAGCAAGGGTGAGAAAGTTCTGGAATGGCTGCCCGGGGAGGTGGTGGAGTCCCCATGCCTGGGTGTGTTGAACAAAGCCTGGATGTGGCACTGGGTGCCAGGGTTCAGTTGAGGGGTTGGGGCTGGGCTGGACTCGATGGCCTTGAAGGTCTCTCCCAACCTGAAGCAGTTTGGGGGTGGCTGCCTGTCCCTGTCCCAGCTGCCAGCAGTGTCCCCATGGCAGTGGCAGTCCCAGGATGTCCCTGGGGTGGATCCACTGTGCCTGTGGATCCAATTCCCACAGGAGAGGACGACGGCAGGGCCCTGGTGCAGGGGGCAGCCGGGGTGTCCCTCTGTCCCCACCGGCCTGGCCAGGAACACATCCCCAGCAGGTGCCAGTGCCCTGACCCCGCTGTGGTGGAAGCCTGGCAGGGGCTGCAAGAAGAGAGCAGCAGCCATGGGCTCGTAAAATAGACTACATGCTTTATTGGATTGAAAAGTTTTATGAAATGACAAAAAAACAAAAAACAAAAACCACCTTAAATCAAGAGTTGGCAGATGTGTCAACGGTTGCCGTTTGGTGGATCCCCAACCCCTTCTCCAGAAGCATCCACAGGTCTCTGCCACCACAAGCAGCTCTGGCCCCGACCCCGCTGGCCCTGCTCCCGGGGGGCCCTGCCTGTGACAGCAGGGTGCCCACAAATTGGGGTACCCAGGAATCAGGGTGCCCATAAACTGGGGTGTCCACAGATCAGGGTGCCCACGGATTGGAGTACCCATAAATCAGGGTGCCCATAAATTGGGGTGCCCATAGATCAGGGTACCCATAAATTCAGGTGCCCACAAATCGAGGTGCCCACAGATCGGGGTGCCCACAGATCAGGGTGTCCATGGAATCGGGGTGCCCAGGCAGCAGCCCTGTTGTGGGGCTGAGCCCACCCCCCCTGTCCCCAAGGATATGCAGGCACTTAGAGTCATTGAGAGGAATTTTTCACTTATCCCAAAGCAACAGTGAAATCGTTTAACTCCCGCCTACGGAACAAAAAACACCTTTGTAGCCCTTCCTGAATTGTCAAGACACAAATATATTACTCTGGCATAAAGCAAGGCCCCGGGGGCTCTCGGCATTTGGCCCGGCCTCCTCTTCTTCCTCCTCCCCCCATTGTGCATCTTCCTCTGCCTCGGCAGGAGCAGCCCCTGCCCACCCCAAGGACGTGTGGGACGGTGGTCTGGGGACGGAGGGGGTGCTGAGGACAGGGACCCTGGGCTGGGGGGTTCTGTGGTGCCAGGGAGCCACCTCGAGTGGGGTGGGAAGGGGCTTGGGGGCTCCCCTGGCAGCCCTGGGGCTGGGGGATGCTCCTGGAGGAGCTGGGAGAGGGGGGTCAGGGATGGGACAGGGCCCAGGGTGGGGCAGAGCTCATCCCTCAGTACTCAGCCCTGGGAATGGGGCAGAGCTCATCCCTCAGTACTCAGCCCTGGGAATGGGGCAGGGCTCAGGGATGGGGCAGAGCTCATCCCTCAGTACTCAGCCCTGGGAATGGGGCAGAGCTCATCCCTCAGTACTCAGCCCTGGGGACGGGGCAGGCCCCATCCCTCGGGACAGGCTCGGCCCTCACAGGGAGTGGGCTCAGCCACAGCTGCTGCCCTCAGTGGGGGCCCCGCAGTGGCCGGGGCTGTGCTGGGGACACGCCGGGGTGAGCCGGGGGCTGTGAGCAGCAGGATGTGACCCACAATGTGCTGAGGGAGGACAGGAGGACGGACTGAGCCCCGGGTCAGGCTGGCACAGCCAGGGACACCCTGGTGTGTGGCCCCAGGGCAAGGGGGACACTGCCTGTGTGGGGGGCACAGAGCCCCAGCGCCCGGCCTGCTCCAGGGGAGGGCTCTGTCATGGTCCTGCCCCCCAGGCACGGCCTGTCCCCTGCCCTGAGAGCCCTGCTGTGTCCTGGTCCCTCCCTCTGGCCCTGCCCAGCTGGGACAGGGGACACAGGACAGGGGACAGGCCCTGCTCCCGGGAGCCCCCTCCTCTCCTCTTCATGTGGATGTGGCGGCTGGACTGGCTCTGCACCAACACCCCTTGGGATGGTCCTTCCCTCCCTGTCCTTGTCACCAGGGTCCTTTCCTCACTGTCCCATTCACCAGGGCCCTTCCCTCCCTGTCCCTGTCACCAGGGTCCATCCCTCACTGTTCCCTGTCACCAGGGTCCTTCCCTCCCTGTCCCTGTCACCAGGGTCCATCCCTCACTGTTCCTTGTCACCAGGGTCCTTTCCTCCCTGTCCCTGTCACCAGGGTGGTTCCCTCCCTGTCCCTGTCACCAGGGTCCTCAGCTGGGTCCCGGGCACGGCAGGTTCGGAGCAGTGCAGGGCACCGGGGAAGCACAGCCCGGGCCAGGCGTGGGTCCCTCCTGCCCCTGTCCCGACCTTCCCCGGGCACCGGGCAGAGCCGTGCGGGGACAGCCCCATCCCCGCGGCCCCCGGGGGCACCGGGAGCACACAAGTACCGGCGGCAAGGGCAGAGTCCTCCCCTGCTCCTGCGCAGCGAGAGCTGCTCGGGACGGGATCCCCTTCCCAGGGGCGCAGCCGAGGGGCCGGGGTGGGAAAGTGACTCGGAGCAATGAGGGAGAACCGCTGCGAGCGGAGTCACCGCAGGGGCAGCGCGGAGCGGCCCCGGCCCGCCCTCAGCCTGTGCAAAAGTCGGAGGAGGCAGGAAAACAAATTAATAACAACAATAAAAAATAAAATTAAAAAAAAAATAAAACCACATTGAAACCAAACCCAAAGGCCGCGTGGCTGAGCAGAGCAGGAGTAACTGGAAGCCATGCACAGCAAAGCCGGGACCGCAGCGGTCGGAGGGAGGGCAGGGGCGGCTCTTCTCGCGGGGAGCCGGCGGCGTCGCGCTTCTCGTCTCGGAGATGAGGAAATAAATAAGTTTAAATAGCTCCTCCCGTGCCGGCGCCGGGGTGACTCGGGGAGCGGAGGGTGCCGGGGCCGCGCTGCGTTCCCGGTGCACGGCCGGCCCCGGGCCCGGCGGGACGCGTCCGGGGGTCTCCCCCCCTACTTCTTGGGCTTCTTGAAGATCTTTAGGGGGAACTTTTTCTTGCTCTGGCCGAGGTCAACCTCGTCGCCCGTCAGGCTGCTGTCCTCGTCCCCCGGGCTCTTCTTGGCGGCCAGCTGCGGGATGCGGGTGTTCCTGGCGCCGCTGGGCCGGCAGTCAGAGATGGGGGAGGGGGTGTCGGGGTCGGTGGAGCTGGGGCTGTGCGACCGGGACGAATCCGAGTGGCTGGGCTTGCCGGCCGTCGGGTGGTGGCTGATCTCCCCCAGGCTGGAGGACTTCTCCATGCCGTGGTTCACCGTCATCATCTTCTTCATCACCATGGGGCTCTCGGGCAGCCGCTCCTGCAAAGCCGCCAGGGCGGAGGGCTCCCCGTGCCGGCTGCCGCCGTTGGGCGTGGGCGCGCCGGGGCCCGGGGGCCCGGGGACAGCCTCCTCCATGGACCTGGTCAGCAGCGTGGGCCGGGCAGCCAGCAGCTTGGGCGCCGAGCTGGGGATACGCTGGTGGTCGCTCAGGTGCGGGATGGAGGAGTCGGAGTCGCAGCGAGTTAAATCTCTGCGGTGGAGAGCGCCGGGAGAGAGGGGTCAGTGCCCACCCGGCCAGGCCCCGCACACACGGATGGCAGCAGCGGCTGAGAGACCCCAGTGACCCCGAGAGGGGCTGGCACTGAGCCCTTGCCCACCCGGCCCCGGCTCGGCCCCTCTCTGTGCCCCAGGGTCGGGGATCCCTGAGCCGGGGGCTCACCTCGAGCAGCTCGAGGGAGCGAGGACATGGGAATGGGATGGAGGCTCAATCCTCCCCATGGATCCCAGGGGGATCCTTCAGTCTGTGATAGGATCCATTGCTCCCCATGGAGATCCCTCAGTCAGGACAGGATCCATTCCTCCCCCTGGATCCCAGGGGATCCCTCAGTCTGTGATGGGATCCACCCTCCCCATGGATCCTGGGGGACCCCTCAGTGTGTGATGGGATCCATTCCTCCCCCTGGATCCCAGCTCCCCCCAGACTCCCCGGGGGTCCCTCAGCCATTGCCCCATCCGTGTGTGCCCACGCCCCCCGGGCCCCCCGCCCCTGCCCCTTGCCTGGCTCAGCCGGTGCCAAGCTCTAACCCCGTGGGAGGAATTGGAGCTTGGCCATGCCCACACGAAGCCATGCCCAGCCCCGCCGCTGCACGAGGTTTGTGCCCAGCCTGTGCCTACCGGTGACGGCCCACGGGGCTCCGGAGCCCTCTGGAGAGTGGGAGGCAGGAGCACGAGGGAAATGACAAGTCACAGCTCGCTCCTCCCGGCTGGATGCTGCTGGCCCCCTCCCCGGGGCCCCTGTGCAGGTGCCAGCCTGCCCGGGCAGCCGGGCCAGGGGTTCCAGTGCTGCCCACGGAGCCCAGGGCACGGGCAGAGCTGCCCCCGGGCAGGGGATGGGTGAGGGGCCCCGGCCCTGCCCACGCACAGGAGGGAGCAGCGGAATGGGAGGCAAATGGAAAGGGAAGGAGCAGGGGAAGAGAAGCGAGAGGCGGTGGGAAGAGGTGGGAGGTGCTGACCTGTCCCTCGCCCTGGAGCGCCCCGACCTCTGCTCTTGGCACAGACCCCTGCACATAGGTGAGCAAACCTGCCTGGCACTGCACAGAGCCCCCAGATCATCTCCTAAGGTACCACCATCAACATCGGCCTGGAGGCAGCCAAAGAGACCGGCAAGACAAGGAAAACCTCCTCAACAGAGCTGGAGACATCCAGGGAGAACTGCAGAGATGTTCAGGAATCCCAGACTGGTTTGGGTGAGAAGGAACTGGGAGGACCACCCAGTGCCACCCGTGCCATGGCAGGGACACCTCCCAGTGTCCCCAGTGCCCAGCCTGGCCTTGGGCACTGCCAGGGATGCAGGGGCAGCCCCAGCTGCTCTGGGCACCCTGTGCCAGGGCCTGCCCACCCTGCCAGGGAACAATTCCTCATTGCCAAGATCCCACCCAGCCCTGCCCTCTGGCACTGGCAGCCATTCCCTGGGTGCTGTCCCTGCATCCCCTGGAAATTGTCTCTCTCCAGCTTTCCTGGGGCTCCTGCAGGCCCTGCAAGGCCACCCTGAGCTCAGCCCAAAGCTTCTCCTGTGCAGGTGAACAATCCCAGCTGTGCCAGCCTTTCCTCCCAGCAGAGCTGCTCCATCCCTCTGCTCATCCTGGAGCCTCCTCTGGGCTCTCTGCAGCAGCTCCAGCTCCTCCCTGGGCTGGGCCCAGGCCTGGGGCAGCTCTGCAGGTGGGAAATCACCTGAGGGGGCACAATCCCAATCCCTTTCCTCTGCCCACCCTTTGGGATCAGCCCAGGGCACAGGGATTTCAGGTCCCAGTGCTCATGGCCAGGCCCTGTGGAGCTTCTCCCACCAATCTCCAGCTCCTTCTCCCAGGGCTGCTCCCAGTCCATTCTCCCCAGGCTGTGTTTGTGCTGGGGTTGCCCCCAGCCAGCTGCAGGCCTTGCCCTTGGTCCTGCTGAGCTGCACGAGGCTGGCAGGGTCCCAGCTCTCAGCCTGCCCAGGTGCCACTGGATGCCCCATCCCATTCCTGCAGGGTGTGCCCACAGCACCAGCTCTGTGTCACTGCCAGGCTGGGGCTGCCCTGGATCCCTGTCCCTGCTCTGGATCCCTGTCCATGCCCTGGATCCCTGTCCATGCTCTGGATCCCTGTCCCTGCCTGGGATCCCTGTCCATGCCCGGGATCCCTGTCCCTGCTCTGGATCCCTGTCCCTGCCCGGGATCCCTGTCCCTGCCCTGGATCCCTGTCCCTGCCCTGGATCCCTGTCCCTGCTCTGGATCCCTGTCCCTGCTCTGGATCCCTGTCCATGCTCTGGATCCCTGTCCATGCCCTGGATCCCTGTCCATGCCCGGGATCCCTGTCCCTGATGATGTTTCCCAGCACTGGTCCCAGTCCTGGCCTCCTCATGCTCTCCACAAAGTGCTGGCACACACTGGAGTCCTGCCTGTGCTGGGACAGGCCCAGAACCTTCTCCTTGTGCTGGAACAAGAGCATTCCTTTAACAGAACCCATGGAATAAAGCCGGGCCCTCGTTCCGCAGCTCCAGGGAACACACGGAGGCAAAGAGGATCCTGTGGGTGGCTGGCATTCAGCCCTGGATCCAGTGGGGGAGCCCAGCTGTGCAGAACACCTCAGCTCTCCTCCTGCCCAGCAGCAAGGAGCCCTGGGCACTGCTGGCATTGTCCCTGTCCTCGCCTGGGGCCCAGCCTGGCTGGTGTCTGAGCCACATCCCGGGTGAGCTGCTGGGAGAAGGGAACAGCCCAGTGGTGTGAGATCCCAGGGGATTCTGAGTGGGCAGCTGGAGCCTTCCAAGGGACACAAGTGCCATCATCACACGTGTGGAGCCTCCGAGCTCCCAGGGACACCAGGGGATACTGCAGAAGGTCACTGTCACGGCCGGTGGCCCATGGCTGTCACTGGGGTAACTGGGACAGCTGGGGTAACTGGGATAGCTGGGGTAACTGGGATAGCTGGGGTCCCAGCAGGGCTGGAGAAGGAGCCAGGCTGTGGGGCAGAACCTTGGCACAGGAACGGTGCTGGGCAGAGCCAGGGTCAGGGCCAGGCAGGATCGGGTCCTGGCAGGAATGCAGGGCCCACTCTGGACTCATGGAGGGGGTGGGAGAGCCCTGAGGGACCCCACGTGCCCTGGCTGGGGATGGGGGCACAGCAACACCTGCTCCCTTCACAGGCAGTGTCCCAGCTCCACCAGAGAATCTAATCTCCTCCAGGAAATCCAGTCCGTCCCTCTGGCTGCCACAGTCCCACAGGGAGAGACCCGGGTCAGGGCCCGTGATAGAAATCCTTTCTAACAGCAAGAGGGCAGCAGATACTGGAGAAAATGGATTTTCTTCCAACTGAGGAGACTTCAAGGATGTGTGAAGAGGTGAGTGTTCCCTGCTGGGCTCCATGGAGCTGCTCCCTCTCCTGCAGGCCTGGCAGGTTTCAATGCAGCAGGGGCAGCAAAGGACAACAGCAGATGGAGAGCCATGCTCTGCTCCACGAGGATCTTCTGTCTGGAGAGCAGAGTGGGAACCCGATCCCAGGACAGCTGGTCCCACACTGCAGAGCCGGGCAGGGCCTCGGTGACACCAGGGCCACCGTGTCACCTCCTGGGGCCGCTCTGGCTGCAGCACAGGGTGCGTGTCCCTGCTCCTGGGGTGGCTGTTCTCTGGGATCTCACCCTGGAGTGGGTGCACCACATGGGTTCCACTCCTGGGAGCCCCAGTTCATCCCTCTGGGCTCATCCGACGGGGCTGAAGGAGCTGATGCCCAAGAGCACACAATTCCCAAATATTCCTACTCTGCTCATACACAATCCCTCCAGCTGCAAGTCAGGAATATATTCCTGAAGGACACAGGGAGGAGCTGGTGACAGCAGCAGCCACCAGAGCAGCAGAGTGCCCACCCTGCTGTGCCAGGCTCTGGGGATATCCTGGCACGGAGGGCACAGCCACCACAGCAGGGACCATCCAAGGGACACCTGGCACAGGCACAGGGACCTCCTGCATTCCTGTGGGCCACCCACGGGATGATTTTGGGAGCTGAACACCAATGGCCAGGAACTTCTGGGATTTTCTTCAGCCCCAAATGAGCCTTTTCCTGGTGGCTCCCACAAAGAAGTGCATGAGAGCAGGGACAGGATTCCTGAGATCACACTGAGGAGTGGACACTCTTGAGTCCATGCCAGGACAACAGGGAGGAAAGAGCATTCCCAGGATGAGGCTCAGCAAGGCCTGCCCTATATCCCACTGATTTCCATGAGGATTATGCTCCTCAACTGTTCCAGCACACTTTCAAGAGGAAAAGCTATCCCAGGACAGGCTGGCCTTGGATGGGATCCCAGGCAGGGATCAGAGGAGGTGTTTTTGTGGAGCAGCAGGAGCCCCTGACAGCTCATCCCTCCTGGAAACCACAGAGCAGCAACTGGACAGAGAAATACCTGGGAGCCCGAGCCTTCCTCCACGCCAGCAGCTCTCCCTGCTCTTTTCCATGGATCCAGGCACTCCAGCACCTCCACAGAGGGACCCTGCCTAAGGCAGGATGGGTCTGCTTCCTCCTGGCTCCCTCCCACCCCACCAGGATCCACCCGAGCCGGGAGGGAGGGAGGGAGGGTGAGGAGATGGGGATGGTGAACAAAAGAAGCAGAGAGCAAAGCATGGAAAAGGAAAGCTTGGAGTACAGGAAGCCTGGGAGTGGAGGAGGAGCAGGGGAGGAGCAGCAGGAGGATGGAGAACAAACACCTATTTTTCCCCAGCCCTGCAGCCCATGAGGGATTTCTCTGGGTGTTCCTGCTGGGGTCCAGCCCAGCATGGCCCAGGAGCTGCCCTGGGTGTGCTGCAGCAGCCACAGAGCCCTGGCTGCCCCATCCCTCTGTGTCTGGCTCTCAGAGCACCCTCAGCTGCTGGGCTCTGTGTGTGTGGCACTAGGGACCAAGGCTTTTCTTAAGGCAAAGTCCCAAATTTGCTGTGGGGCTGAGCTTGGCACAGCCTCAACGCACACCCAACAGCAGCTTCCTCCCTTCCACCCTGCTTGAGCTGTGAATTACTCATTTCCCTGGATTCCTGACTCTCTCCCTTCGCTGAGCTTTGGCTGCTGCCTCCCTTCCTGGTTGGAGAAGGGCCTGGGCATTTGGTGCTACGCTCCCCTCTCCGTGGGTTTCATCCACCCGAGGCAGGCACTGGCAGCAGAAACCCCTGTGCACACACAGCCCCTCCAGCCCCTCTCCCCCCGGGGACCCCCCGATCCCGCAGCCGCCTCCGGCCCGGAACCGCTCTGACCTTATTGGCGCCGGATCCTCTGAAGCCAATTGCAAAAGAGAAGCAGAGAGTGAGGAGTTGAGGGAGAGGCTCCCTGCCAGGATAACCCCAGCAGGACTCCGGAGACAGCGATCCCCAGCCTCGCTCCTCGGGGGTTGGAGAGGATTCTCCTGCGAGCCCTGCCCAGCCTGGGCTCTGCTGGATGTGCGAGAGGCTAAAGAGCTCCAGCAGCCCCCAGCGCCAGGGGGGCACATTCCTCCTACCAAGGGAGCCGGGACACTCTGGGGCTCTGCTCCTTGCAGTGACTCCCTGGAGGGCCTTTCTGAGGCTCCCCAGGAGGCTGAGGGATGGAAGGAAAGGCCTCCAGGAGCGGGGGTATCAAGGAGGGGCAGCAATCCATCGGCAGCGGCGCTTTTGGGGATGCATCAGAGCAGGGCCTGCTAGTGATGCAGCTGGATAAAACAGTTATCAGCACACCACAAACCCACATCCTCGGGCACCCAACTCCTCATTCCTGCTGCTGGGCTGAGCAGGGATGATGAGGTGGGGGAGCTGCCTGCTGAGGTGCAGCTGGAGCAAGTCCCAGGTGGGAGGTTCTGACTCCATCCCTTCTCCTGCATCACCAGCTGGGCTTTGCCACGGGAGCAGGGACAGGACAGGTCACACCCAGTGGTGACCAGCTGGGCTCTGACCAGGGCAGGCCCCACTTATTCCCTCCTCTGGCACCTTCCCCTTCCCTTCCTGGGGTCCCCACACTGGATCCTGTTTCCCTCTGCCACTCTCGGGGGGTCTGCAGGGACTCAGGCTTTGTCCTGGGCAGAACTCCACGTGCCATGGGCCTCAGTGGAAATAAATCACATTTAAACAGCTGTTTTGGACACAGGATATGAGCCCCAGGCTGCCAGAATGAGTTCTCCCTCCTGCAGAGTCAGGGAGGCAATGGAAGCAGGGACCAGCAGCATTCCCAGCTTTTACCAGTCCAACTGGGACAGCTGCAATTGAGCTCCCACTGGTAGGAGTTAATTAATTACACAGCTTCTCATCATCCCCAACCAACCATTACTGAATTAACTGAGATGCTGCTCTTTAATTCTCCATTGTGGAGCAGGTGCAGGAATCTCCCCCTCGGTATTCCAGACTCCAGAATGTGCCTGGGGCTGCTCAGCTTGGAGACACACGGGGCAGGGAGGGGGTGGAACATCCAAACCAGAGACTGTGAACAAGGCCAGGAGAGATCCCAGCACCTGAGGGCAGGGGAACCCACAGGTAAGGGGATAATGGGGCATTGTGCTGGGATGGGTGAAGATGTGGTGACTGGGAATGCTTCCCTGCCTGGAGAAATGATGGTGGAAGGACATTTCCCCTCTCCTCTGCCTCACCCAGGGACTTCCAGCACTCTCCCAGCAGTCTGCTCCCAGTACTGAGGGTCAGCAGACTGGTTTTAATTTTGCCATGGAGAAAGCATGGAACAGAGATGGAATGACCTGGCAGGGACAGGATTCCCTGGTCCATCACAGCCTCCCCACTGCCTGCATTGAGTGCCTGGCACAGCTGAGGCCAGTGCCCCAGGGGGATCCCACAGGGACACAACACCTCGGGACTGGCTGCACCCCTGACCCCTGGGACCAGGATGTGTGGGATCTCCCTGGGGTGAAAGCCACCCCAGGAGCCTGACCCTGTGCTTGGGACACACAGCATTCCTGCCAAGCTGTCAGGGCCCCTTGGAGCACCAGGCAGGATTCCTGCTCCTCCCTGTCACCAGCACCATGAACTGGGACAGCTCTGGCATTGAGGGATGGAGGATAACCAGTCCCTAGGATGGACCAAAGAGCCAACTGAAGGGGACCAAGCTAAAGCCAACAGGAGCAGCTCCAGCTCCATCCTCAGACATTCCCTAGCCACCCTGTTCCTCATCCCTACCAGACCAGAGGCACTCCAGAACACATTGCTATACTGCCACTCTAGCACCTCTGAAAACCATCCCAGATTTCTCCAGCTGCTTCCTCGTGGTGCCCACCCATCATGTTCCCTTTGCAATTCACTTGTGAGGACCCCAGGGAGGTCCAGGCTCCAAATCAGATCAGGTTTGGTGATCAGCTCTGTTACCTCCTCGCATCCCTTGTTCAGGGAACACTGAGCACCTGGGAATTCTCATTTGCTCAGCTGCAGTAAAACAGCAGCAGAGCACCTTGGGAACGCCCCCTCTGAGCTCCTGGGCATGGGGATGGCCCACGGAGTCCTCCTCAGAGGCTCCAGCGGCTCGGGAGAGCAGCAGAAGGAACAAGAGTGGATAAATCACGGAACAAGGGCCCAAAAGAAAAGGGCAGGAGGAAGGTGAGAGAAAGAGCGCCCCAGCAAGCATCAGCTCCGAGGCACGGCAGGCAGGAGGCGGCTAGAAAAGAAACAGCAATATACCCAAAGCTCCCAGTGCGACAGCGAACTCCAGAGGTGACATCAGGAGGGGGCAGGTCGGGGATGGAATCCATCTGGAGGAAATAAGAGGTGGTGTGATGGTAATAGATAGGGTGGACATGGCAAGCAGGAGCAGGTGCGGTGGTGGTGGATGAGGAGCAGGAGGTGGAGGAGGTGGAGGCAGGCGATGGGCTGGAGCCGGGCGGGTCGGAGCCGAAGGACTGTCCGGAGGTGAGGCTGTGCATTCGGCGCAGGGACACTCGGCCCGCGCGCAGCGGGGCCACGGGGCCCGCCTCGGGCTGCCCCGGCATGAGACTCTCTACCAACCTCTGCGATCCGTGGCCGTGCTGCGGCTCCACCAGGCGCTGCCGGACTGTGCTGGGCAAGGCCGGAGCTGCAACGACACAGGGGGACAGTGAGGGGAGGGCACGGCCCACGGAGCTCTGCAGGACAGAGCGAGAGCACAGCCCGGCCCGGCCTGCGGAGCTCCGCCAGGACAGAGCGAGAGCACAGCCCGGCCCGGCCTGCAGAGCTCCACCAGGACAGAGTGAGGGCACAGCCCGGCCCAGCCTGCGGAGCTCCGCCAGGAGAGAGTGAGGGCACAACCCAGCCCGGCCTGCGGAGCTCCACCAGGACAGAGTGAGGGCACAACCCAGCCCAGCCTGCGGAGCTCCGCCAGGAGAGAGTGAGGGCACAGCCCAGCCCAGCCTGTGGAGCTCCGCCAGGAGAGAGTGAGGGCACAACCCAGCCCAGCCTGCGGAGCTCCGCCAGGAGAGAGTGAGGGCACAGCCCAGCCTGCGGAGCTCCGCCAGGAGAGAGTGAGGGCACAGCCCAGCCTGTGGAGCTCCGCCAGGACAGAGGGAGGGCATAGCCTGGCCTGTGGAGCTCCACCAGGAGAGAGTGAGGGCACAGCCCAGCCCAGCCTGTGGAGCTCCACCAGGAGAGAGCAAGAGCATAGCACAGCCCAGCCTGGCCCGCGGAGCTCAGCCAGGTCTGGCACTGGCCCACTGGCACCATGAGAGCAGCACCACCCCATTAGCACCAGCCCACTGGCACCATCCCCATCCCACTGCCACCAACCACAGCAACACCACCCCACTGGCACCATCCCAGTCCCACTGACACCACCCCAGCAGCACCATCCCACTGTCCTCGTGCCACCAGCACTGTCCCACCTCGTGCCAGCAGTTAGGGCCTGTTTAATGCAGAAGCAGCTTTAAGCTGGTGCTGAACATGCTGGATTAATGCCCAGCCCATGGAGAACTCCAGCATTGCTGATGTAGGTGCCTCTGAACACCTTATCTGAGCATCTTGCCTGACGCAGAGAGCGGCTCTGTGTGATTCATCCCACCTGGAGAGCCAAGAACAGGGCACTTCCAGGGCCATTCCACCCTCACAGACACCTCATGGCTCCAGCCCTGCTCCCTGGGTGGGACCTGCACAGCCCAAAGCAGGAGCCCCAGGTGAGCAGGTCAATGTTGGCACCTGAAGCTCTACTCGCAGAGCTCAGCTCTGCTTGATTCACTGGGCAGGGGTAGCACCAGGAGCAAAGCCCTGGCAGCATGGAATCATACAGGGATTGGGTTGGGAGGGACTTCAAAGATCATCTCTTCCCAGCCCTGCCATGGCAGGGACACCTCCCACTGTCCCAGGCTGCTCCAAGCCCCAGTGTCCAACCTGGCCCTGGGCACTGCCAGGGATCCAGGGACAGTTCCCTGGTTGGTTGAAAATATTGGGGTTGAGGATCTTGGCAATGAGGAATTGTTCCCTGGCAGGGTGGGCAGGCCCTGGCACAGGGTGCCCAGAGCAGCTGGGGCTGCCCCTGCATCCCTGGCAGTGCCCAAGGCCAGGCTGGGCACTGGGGACAGTGGGAGGTGTCCCTGCCATGGCAGGGGTGGCACTGGGTGGATTTAGGGTCACTCCCAACCCAGACTTTCTGGGATTCATGCCTGATTCCTCCATGCCTGAACTCGTGACTCTGGCCTCAGGGCTCCCAGCCTGTTCCATGACCACTGTGACTGATCAGGGACCCCCTCAACCTGAGAAATATTCACCTGTGGTTGCCAATTCCCCTTAGTCTGGGGAACCACATGGGAATGTTCTTTGGAGCCCCAGCACCAGTCCCTGAACTGCCTTCAAAGCTCCCCAGGATCTCTCCAGCCCTGTGGTCACAGCTGGCTGGAACTGGAGCCCAGCAAGCCCTGAGCAGCTGCCTGTGCCCCACACCTGCCCCCAGGGTCACCCCCAGAGCCAGGGGAGGCCCCTTCACCTGCCTGGAGCCTTGGGAATGCTCCCTCCACCACGGGGAGCGAGATCCCAGGGCTGCAGCCCCATCCCCAGCTGGCTTTATTCCATCCCCATTCCATAGAACATGATCCTCCTCTGGCAGGAGATAAGGTGTTCAGGATTGCTCAGGATTTCTTATGTGCATAAGAAATAATGTACAAATGGGTTAAAAAGATGCAGAGACAGGAAAGCTCAGAAATGGAGGAGGAGGAGAGCTCCTTTGGGAATGGAAGAACCAGCAATCCCTGCTCTGGAAAATCCCAGCTGGACACACAGGGCTCCTCTGGCAGAATGACTCAGGGCTGAAAGAGCCACAGGGACATATTTCCAGTGGAAGAAGGAATAAGAAGGAATAATTCTGGCAACTTGGCTGTTTCCACAGCCCCAAGGTGAACCCCAGTCTTTCCCACTGTTCTTTGCTCCCTACAGTGCCCATCCATGAACTTGGAATTTTACACTATTCTATTGCAAGATTTTTAAAATTCAGCTCCAGGGCTGTAATTCCTGTTTGGGAATCTCACTGTGGACGGTTCACAAGGATCTGACTGCAGAGTAATTCACTGGGGTGATGGGTTTCTGCCACAGGTTTCTTTTGCCCTTGGGCCATGCTTTTTTCCCTAAGGATTCCCCATTTTTTCCTGGTGTTCCACCCCCTATTTCCCAGCTCAGTAGTTCCCACCTTCGTGCTCTCCAAGACTTGCCCTGCATTGAGCTCTGGAGCAGGGGCTGGAACCTGGCTTCCCAGACCCACCACTTCCCTCCAGACACATGTTTTACCAACATTCCCCCAATTCCCTGCCCAAGGAAAAGCCCTCCCTGCTCAAGGCTGGCACAGCCACCTGCTCTGTCTCCCTCTGAAGGGGAAGCCTCCAAAGGAGCCAAGGCCTGGAGGCTCTGTGCCAACCCCAGGGACAGGATTCCCTAAGAGCGGCACTGCTCAGTTTATTTAGGGATTCTGAGGGAACACAGCACCTGCAGGGAGGGATGGGGCAGCAGGGAAGGAGGTGGGATGGGACAGGGAATGCTGTCACCTCCTCCTGGCCTCACTGGGTCCTTCATCTCCACCTCAGGGGTAAAATGGAGTGAGTCCAACCCCCCAGATTCCCCCACTGCTCCCAGCAGCACGTGGGAGCTGCAGCTGAGATTCTTCTTCATCCCACCAGACTCTTCCCGGGGTTAGTGCAGGTGGCGATGGCTCAGTGAGGACAGATACATTCATTAGTTCCCGTGCCAGAAAGATGGAAAATTGGTGGATGGATTTTAGTCCAGAAAAAGGCCAGAGGGCAGAATAAAAAAATGAGAATAAAATTGAAGAGAACCAAACCAGGGTATTTCCAGAGGGACTGATCCTCCGAGGACAGCGAGGAGCGGTCGCTGAACCTGCGCCCGAAAAGCCAGGCTGCATCTGGGGGCAGCCAGGTGGGAACAGGAGAGAGAGAGATGGGATTTACTGGGGGAGGCAGCACAGGTCCTCACAGCACACCTGGGCAGGAGAAACACTGCTCTCCTGAGGCAGGCTTTGCACACCAAGGAAGGAAACCCTACAGGGAAAGGCTGCCTTGCTTTGGGAACTGGAGTGCTTGGCACAGGTGTTTCACCTGCAGGGAGGAGGGGCAGGAGGGGCAGGCAGGTGAGCAGCTGGGCACAGAGCTGGGCACACAGCTGGGCACACAGCTGGGCACACAGCTGGGCAGGCTCTCTGCCCACCCCTGGCATGATGGAAGTGCTCTCTGGAAATGCCTCACTCGAGGTGTTTCAAGTGCCAAGAAGCTGAAATCGGGGCTGGAGGCTCCCACCTGGGCCAGCTCAGGCCCCCAGGTGTCACCTGGGACTGTCCAAGCGTCCCTGCCACCAGTGCCCAGCTGGGGCTGTGCCAGGGCTTTATCAGAGATGTCCAGCCTGATTCTGAGGGTGAGTGATAATGAAAAGGAGCTTCCCTTCCCTGAAGCTTTAATGTCCCCAAGCAGAGCTGATCCCACAGACTGTGGCTGCAGCCCCCGTGTCTGCAGAGCCCTGGGAACACACAGGTACCCCCCTTCCTCCTGCCCTACCCAAAGCCTCCAAGCTCTGCCTCCCCTGGCCCTGCCCTGAGCTCCCCCCAAGCTGAGGGGATGTGGGCCTGGCACAGAGGGCACCTCCTGCAGCACAGTGCCAGCCCTGAGACCCTTCTGCTGCTCCCTCCTGCTGCTCCACACAGCCCTGGCTCGGGTTAAATTGTCCAGAGTGGCCCAGAGCAGCTGGGGCTGCCCCTGCATCCCTGGCAGGGCCCAAGGCCAGGCTGGGCACTGGGGCTGGAGCAGCCTGGGACAGTGGGAGGTGTCCCTGCCATGGCAGGGGTGGCACTGGCTGGGCTTTAAGGTCCTTCCAAGCCAATCCACTCTGTGATTCCATGATTCCATGACAGTGCCTGGATCAGGGTGCTGTGCCCTGCCAGGTGCTGCTCCTGTGTCCTCAAGGCCCTGTCCCTGCTCTACCCGAGGGGACACTATTTGGAAACTGCCTTTTGGGAGAAGCAAGGCAGGACCTGGGCCAGCTGCAGGCAGGAACAGCAGCCAGGGCTGGCTGCCAGCTGCTGCAGAGAAGGTGACAGTGCCACCCACCCCTGTGAGGGTAATTCCAGCAGCTGAGGGGTCACAGGCACAGGGTGATCCACGCTCAGCCCTCCCTCTGTGGGGTCTGGGCTTGGCAGAGCAGGGACAACCACCCTGGGAGTGGTGCTCTCTGCTACCAACAAAGAGGGACAGGAGGTGCTCCTGGCTGAGCCCAAGGCCTGCACAGAGCTGGGATCTGGGGCAGCCTGGGCTCCAGGGAGTGTTTAACAGGTCCCTGAGGCTGCCAGAGTGCTGCTCCCACCCAGAATGCTGCAGGATGCAGGTCCAGCTGGGCCTCAGGAGGGGCACCTTTGAGTCTTTCAATCCCAAAAAAGTGCTCAGGCCAAGGGGACATGGGGATAATCCCTTTTCCTGTCCCACTGCCATGTCTACCCATGCCTTTGGTTGGGGTTTTTGGTAAATGCTTAAATCACTGAGTTGACCAGAACATCACAGACAGAATGAAATGATGATTAACAGTTCCTAAATTACCAGTCATGCTGGCATTTCCAGGCTCCAAACAACCCCAGCAGTGGGGCCTGGCCTGTTAGGGATGTTCCTGACCCTGATGGACTAACTCTGGTCTGTGGGCACAGAAAACCTAGCTTGGATCAATTATTCCCTCCTCATACAGGTGAACTACAGATCCAGGTCTGCTCTGTGCCACAGCCCCCAACCCCAGCAGACACAGCCCCTGTTCCCAGGGGAACCCCATTCCCAAGGAGCCCCCATTCCCAGGGAGGTTCCCCATTCTCAAGGAGCTCCCCACATTCCCAGGGAGCTCCCCCATTCCCAGGGAGCCTCCCATTCCCATGGAGACCCCCCAGAGCCCCATTCCCAGGGAGCTCCTCCATTCCCAGGGAGCTTCCAGAGCCCCCATTACCAGGGAGCTCCCCCATTCCCAGGGACGCCCCCGCCCAGTCCCAAGGAATCTCCAGAGCTCTCATTCCCAGGGAGCCCCTGCATTCCCAGGGAGCCCCCCATTGCCAAGAAGCCCCCACTGCCCCATTGCCAGGGCCCCCCATTCGTCCCCGGGCTGCCGTACATTGCATGGACATGGGTGACACCAGCTCCTCGTCCAGGTCATCCACGTCGTCGGTGATGATGAAGTGGGAGGGGTTGGGCCGGGGCGTGCCCATCCAGCCCGGGTCGATGTTGAGGGCCGAGGCCAGCGAGGGGATGCCGGGGTTGTTGACGATCTGGAAGCCGCAGAGCAGCTCGATCTGCTGCCAGCGGTGCAGCCGCTCCCGCAGCGCCGCCGTCACCTCGCTCAGCGCTTGTCTGGGGACACAGGGACACGCGGGGACAATGCAGGCAGGCATGGGACACGGCCCCTGCACTGCCTGGGGACACAGGGACACGCGGGGACAATGCAGGCAGGCATGGGACACGGCCCCTGCACTGCCTGGGGACACAGGGACAATGCAGGCAGGCATGGGGACACGGCCCCTGCACTGCCTGGGGACACAGGGACACACAGGGACAATGCAGGCAGGCATGGGGACACAGCTCCTGCACTGCCTGGGGACACAGGGACACACGGGGACAATGCAGGCAGGCATGGGGACACGGCCCCTGCACCGCCTGGGGACACAGGGACACGCGGGGACAATGCAGGCAGGCATGGGGACACTGACCCTGCACTGCCCTGGGGACACAGGGACAATGCAGGCAGGCATGGGGACACGGCCCCTGCACCGCCTGGGGACACAGGGACACACGGGGACAATGCAGGCAGGCATGGGGACACGGCCCCTGCACTGCCTGGGGACACAGGGACAATGCAGGCAGGCATGGGGACACAGCTCCTGCACGGCCTGGGGACACAGGCACACACAGGGACAATGCAGGCAGGCATGGGGACACTGACCCTGCACTGCCCTAGGGACACAGGGACACACAGGGACAATGCAGGCAGGCATGGGGACACTGACCCTGCACTGCCTGGGAACACAGGGACAATGCAGGCAGGCATGGGGACACAGCTCCTGCACTGCCTGGGAACACAGGGACAATGCAGGCAGGCATGGGGACACAGCTCCTGCACTGCCCTGGGGACACAGCCCCTGCACCATCTGGGGACAAAGGGACACACAGGGACAATGCAGGCAGGCATAGGGACACAGCCCCTGCACTGCCTGGGGTGCACTTGGATTTCTTACACAACAAGGCTACAACTGATTTTCTTTTGTTAACACACAGACGTGAAGATTTAAAAAAACGTATATATAAAAAAATTTTAAAATGCATTTTTATATTTTAAAAATGTATGCATAAATATATATGAAATATATAAAAATATTTTATATATTATATATAATATATAATAAAATATTTTTATAATGCATATATAAATAGATATTTATATATAAAATGTATATATAATGTATATACCTTTATACATAAAAATATATAAATATATATTAAAAAAATCGATCAGTCAGAATCAATTTAAAAAACATCGACAAAAGTGTATCAAAAATTAAAGTTGATCATAAAACTTAGTTAAATAGCTGATTTAATAAATAAAATTTCATATTGTAACTAAAAAAAAACTTTTAAAAATGAATGTATACATTTTAGTTATCATAACATTTGTACTATTGTACAACCAGTAGTACAACTATAATAGTTGTACTATTGTACAACCAGTGTACTATTGTACAACTATTATAGTTGTACTATAATTGTACTACTAATCATAGTACCTTGTTTACTCCAATACAATCAACAAAAAATTAACAAAACTATTAAAAAAGTCTACATAGTTTAAAGAGGAGGGGGCGATGTTAGGGTCAGCTGGGGTCAGCTGTGCATCCCGACATGTGAGACACTTTTCATTCCAATTCCAGGAATGCAGCAATTTAAAAAGGCAGCAGCAGCAGCTGAAGTACCCAGGGATAACAACAAGGGGGAATGGCTGCCAGTGCCAGAGGGCAGGGCTGGATGGGATCTTGGCCATGAGGAATTGTTCCCTGGCAGGGTGGGCAGGGCCTGGCCCAGGGTGCCCAGAGCAGCTGGGGCTGCCCCTGCATCCCTGGCAGTGCCCAAGGCCAGGTTGGACACTGGGGACAGTGGGAGGTGTCCCTGCCATGGCAGGGGTGGCACTGGGTGGGATTTAGGGTCCCTCCCAGCTCCAGCCATTCCATGACAATCCCCTAAGCATCCTGCAGCCTCCTGGAACCTCGTTTTGGCAGGACTTTTAATTGCTCCATGTAACTGTGACTCCATTTCTCACAGGTAAAATCAGGTTATTGATCAAGAGGAGCAAGTCCAACCCCAGGTCACTGAGGACAACACAAGTTCAGCAAAATGAGCCCCAGAGCCCCTGCAGAGGTGAGGACACTCGTGCCTGGGACAGGGGAGGGATGAAGAGGGGGGTGCTGAGCAGACACTCACTTTGCAGTTAGGATTTTATGATCCACATCATCCAGAGAGGAACTGTGAGCAACATGGAACGTCCCAAAAAGGGTGTTTCGCTTCTTTTTGATCTTTTCAGCCTGGAATATCAACAGAGAAAGGTCACAGGAAGAAGACAACCTGAAGTTTCCTCCAGGCCATGGACATCCTGGATGGGCTGAGACAGGAACAGTCCCTGCAGCTGCCTGCACATGTGGGAATAGAGGGAATGGTGGCATTACTGAGGAATGCTGCTCTCCCTGACACTGGGGTGAGGAATTCCCCAGAAGCAAGCAGCAGGTTGGGGATTTCATGCTCCCTTCTCCCAGCTTCCCAAAAATCAGAGGGAACTGAACTGAAAAGGCTGACATTTCAGGGCAGAGCTGGAGTCCCCATCCCTGGAGGGATTTCACATCCTGGTGTGGATGTGGCACCTGGGGACATGGGGCAGTGGTGGCCTTGGCACTGCTCGGGGAATAGGTGGACTTGAAGGTCTCCCAGGGTTTCTCCAACCCAACCCAACCCATTCCATGATTCCATGAGCCAGGTACCTCACTCAGTGAAGGGCTCTCACACATTGGCTCATCCCTCCCCTGAATAACCACCAAACACACCCCAGGGCGTGGGCTGAGGAGGATTTCTGGTTTGAGGTAGAGTTTGTGCCATTGTATCAGAAATTAAAGTCTCCTCCCACAGCTCTTCCATTCCCAGCTCCAGTGCAGGAACCTGGGACTTAGGAGAGCCAAGGATGTGGGTGCAAGAAGTGACACAGCCAAAGGAAAACTGTTGGAATGTTCGAATGTTCCCAATCAAAGCAGAGGAAGGCAGACAGTTTTCCCTCCTGCCAGCTCAGCTCCATATGGCCACGGGGATGAGGACGAGTCACAACAGCTCCCTGGGCTCATCCCTCAGGGCTGGCACAGAAATCCCAGACCAGGAATGCAGCGATGATTCAGGATCTGGGATTGCACTGCCTATGCATGCTCATCATCTGGAGCAGGGATGGTGCTGGGAGGTGCAAAGCCTCCTGCTCACCCAGCACCCAGGGCAGCACCCCTGCCCCAGATCCCCAGGGCTCCAGCAGCACCCAGGGTGGGACCTGCCCACCCTGAGAGCCCATGCCTCAGGAACACCATCCTCATCCTCATCATGCTCAGCCCCTGCTCACATCTCACTTGTGCTGCACTTTTACAAGACATAAATTTAAGGCATGAAGAGAGAAACTGCCCTTGAGCTGAGGGCAGGGCTGGATGGGATCTTGGCAATGAGGAATTGTTCCTTGGCAGGGTGGGCAGGCCCTGGCACAGGTGCCCAGAGCAGCTGGGGCTGCCCCTGCATCCCTGGCAGTGCCCAAGGCCAGGCTGGACACTGGGGCTGGGAGCAGCCTGGGATAAAATCAAAGGTGTCCCTGCCCATGGAATGAGATGAACTTTGAGGTCCTTCCCAACCCAAGGCACTCAGGGATTCCACGATGCCACAAACCCAAGAAGATGCAGAGACCCATCTCTGCAGGTTTACCCCCAGCCCTCCCCAGGGACCCAGCAGGAGGCCACTGCAGTTCTCACCCCTTCCTTGGCCACCAGCAGCTGCTTCTCTGCGTTCTGCTTCTTGATGTTGTAGTACTGCACCTCCACCTCGTGGGTCAGCTGCAGCCACTTCTGCAGGGCCTCGGGGGCAGCCCAGCTGCAGTGGGACTCCAGCTCCTTCTCCGCGTTCTTCAGCGCCATCCGCACCTGGGGACAGGCACCCGGGACACATGGAGCGGCTGTGGGGACACGGCCCTCCCACAGCTCATCCCCCTCTGCTGCCACCCCCCTGCCCAGGCAGCTGCACCAGGTCTGGCAGCAGGAAACCCCTCTGGAGGAGCGGTGGCATCCTGGGGGCTGTGGGAGAGGAGCCACCCACAGGGCAGGCTGCTGCTCCGAGCACCAGAACCTCCCAGGGACCAATCCTGCCACCCTAAGCTGAGCCCCTTCCCTAGAAACTCCCAGCCAGGACTGTGCTCCGAGCACCAGAACCTCCCAGGGACCAATCCTGCCACCCTAAGCTGAGCTCCTTCCCCAGAAATTCCCAGCTGAGCTCCCTCTCAACCCCTCCTCATCACCAGGAGCCACAGGAAACCCCTCTGGAGCTGATGGCACGGTACATGAGGTGGTTAAAAGGGAATTAGGCTCGCAGAGAGGATGCTCTGGGGATTCTGCAGCCTCTAGAAGCTCTGCAGAGCTTGCTGCCTGTCTGTAACTCCCCCTGTGGAGGCAGAGCCCCTGACAGGCAATCCCTGTCTCACCACAGCTCCCAGCCAAGCCCAGGGAGCTCGTCAGGAGACAAATTCCACACTGCACAAAGTGAGAAAAATATTTAGACACAAAACATGTGCTGCTGGTCAGGAAAAAAAACAGCCTGGCTGCATCAGCCACTCCTGGGGTGTCTCCTTCATCCCCAGGCTCCTGCACACCCTGACACCCCACAGAGACAAGGATTAGAAGGGACTGGCTGAGAAGCCAGCTGAGCACACTGCAGCCTCACAGAAAAGCCTGCAGTGGTGCAGACCCCCAGGAATGAACTGGTGTGCTGCAGTGCCCACCCTGTGGAGAGGCTCTCAAGCCTGGCAAGCCCTGCAGGAAGGGAAGGTGTGCCAGCCTGGAGCAGCAGCAGGACGGCACCACAACGCCAGGGCACGCTGCAGGGATGGGCACTGTGCCACCACAGCGCCCTGGGGCTCAGGGGGGCTGTGCCTGCCACCCCCAGCACTGCCCTGCTCCTGCAGCTCCCAGCCCACGGGCAGGCCGTGCCCGGCGGCGGTGGGCGGATGCAGAGCAGGGGTTTTGTGCAGCACTGCTCACTCTTGGAGCTTTGCCCTGGATGTGTTCTGCTTTAACTCAGCCTGGGGGTTTTCAGGGAGCCAGGAGCCCCAGGGTAGAGGCAGATCTCTGAAATTGTGTGTTTTACCCAGAAGGAGCATCCATCCAGGAGCAGCCCCGAGGCACCACACACCACAGGTCAAACACTTGTGCCACTTGTGTGTGATTTAGGGCTGTTCAGTATAAAACTGCCCAAATCAGTCCCAGAGCCTGGGTTTTTCCTGGCTTTTCCCATTACACACCAGCAGCACCACTCAGGTGCTGCTCCCACCTCAGCAGAACTCTGACCATCACCCACAGGCATCTGGGATTTGGGAATACAGAGGAAACATGGGTAGGAAATCTGTCACTGGTTGTTAGGGGTAGAGGAGTGCTCATAACACCCACAGGAACAAGGTTTTTAGGGAATGGTGGGAAAGGGAAGTGCTGTGGCACAGGCAAGGACCAGTGGCTAAAATGAGTGTCCATGACCCAAACTCTCGTGGTTCTGAGGGAGTCTGTGCAAACAGGAGTTACATTGTGTGTGTCTCCATTCTCCTGGGAAGACCTTTAAGACCCCATTTGGATCACTAAGAGTAACAATTGATAGGGAAATTTATATAAAAGTTATACTCTGCCCTGGTGAAACCCCACCTGCAGAGCCTCCAGCCCTGGGGCCCAAGAGCAGGAGGATGTGGAGCTCCAGGAGCCAGGCCAGAGGAGCCCCAGAGCTGCTCCAGGGCTGGAGCCCCTCTGGAGCCAGGCTGGGAGAGCTGGGGGGGGCTCACCTGGACAGGAGCAGCCCCAGGGAGAGCTCAGAGCCCCTGGCAGGGCCTGCAGGGGCTCCAGGAGAGCTGCAGAGGGACTGGGGACAAGGCCTGCAGGGACAGCACCCAGGGAATGGCTGCCAGTGCCAGAGGGCAGGGCTGGGTGGGATCTTGGCAATGAGGAATTGTTCCCTGGCAGGGTGGGCAGGCCCTGGCACAGGGTGCCCAGAGCAGCTGGGGCTGCCCCTGCATCCCTGGCAGTGCCCAAGGCCAGGCTGGGCACTGGGGACACTGGGAGGTGTCCCTGCCATGGCAGGGGTGGGATGGGATGAGATTTAAGGTCTTTCCAGCCCAAACCGGTGTGGGATTCTATTCCACAATTCCCTCAGTGCTCTCTGTGGCCCCACTGGGGTCTGTGGAAGGTGCCCCAGTGAGGAGGGAGAGATGGATGGAGATCCTGGGAACAGGACACTCTCCATCCCATACACCCAACTGCAGCAGGACCATCCCAAGGCTCCAGCGTGGCCTGGGTGATCAGAACCCTGGTGCAGAGCAGGTCTGTGTTAAGGCTCCCTGGGAGCAGTGTGGGGTCACAGGGGTGACAGGTTAATGTCACAGGTGTCCTGGGGCAGTGGGGCAGTGCTGGGGTTACTGTCACACAGTGCTGTGGGACACTGCAGTACTCACCTGCCTTCAGCCTGGGCAGCTCACAGGTCACATCAGCTCCTGGGCTCCTTGATGGGAACGCAGGGCAAGGGCAGGGTGAGAGCTGGGCTGCTCCAGAGCTGGGGCCCAGGGCTCCCAGCCCCACCGTGCCCAAACACACTGCCCCAGGGGCTGTCTGTGCCAGCAGGGACACCCCAGGCCCCGCGCAGAGGCTGGATGGCCACAGGAGGATGGATCAGAGCACTCCTGAGGGGCTCGGGGCTGCTGCACTCCCAGGGAGGAAGGGAATTTGCTGTTTGTCCCCCTGCACTGACTGCCCCAGGGCTCTCAGGACACTTTGTCCTGCCTTGCCAGGGGAAGCCCTGGATTCCTGCCCTGGTTTCATCCCCGTCCTCCATGGTGGCAAAAAAGACTGGACACAGCAGGGAGGATACACACACAAACACATGGCCTTGGAACATCCAAGGAACCTGCCTGGCTCGTGCAGGTCTGGCTCCAGTCTCAGTTTAAACTGATCTGTAACTTGCAGCCAGGTGAGAATTGTTCCTCAGGCAAGACAGAAAGCAGCTACTGGGATTGAGGGTTTGGACTTCCTTGTAGGTTTGGGGAAGTTAAGGTTGGAAACTGGGAAAATTTCCTTATGGAAAGGGTTGTTCAGCCCTGGCACAGGCTGCCCAGGGCAATGCTGGGGTCACATCCATGGAGGGATTTAACAGGATGTGGCAAATGGGGACATGGTCAGGGGTGGCCTTGGCAGTGCTGGGGAAGGGCTGGCCTGGATAGTCTCAGAGGGCTATTCCAACCCTTACACACACTCTGATCCATGAGAAAACATGGAAAGCATAACTGAACTCATTCTAAATCTGTCCTAAATCCATGAACACAAACAAAGAGAGACTGCATGGACTGGGGAGGGAGTCAGAAATGCCAGAGGGTGCAGCTCCAGGGCAAGTCCAACCCCTCTCCTCCTGCTGGGATTTCGCCAGGTGCCAGCACCTGCCCTGTCCAACACCACAGCAGTGACTGGGATGTGTAATGGACACCATGGAAAAGAGACTCAGGGCTTTTCCTCCATAAAGGGGAGTAGGAAAGCAAAGGCAAAAGAGCAGCAGCATCACTGGATTCAGGGGGTTGGAGAGCAGTGAGGACTGGAGTCCCTCAAGAGCCAGGACAGGCACTGGGAATGCCTTTGTTGGTGACAGGGACAGGGATCCAGGGCAGGGACAGGGATCCAGGGCAGCCCCAGCCTGGCAGTGACACAGAGCTGGTGCTGTGGGCACACCCTGCAGGAATGGGATGGGGCATCCAGAGGCACCTGGGCAGGCTGAGAGCTGGGACCCTGCCAGCCTCGTGCAGCTCAGCAGGACCAAGGGCAAGGCCTGCAGCTGGCTGGGGGCAACCCCAGCACAAACACAGCCTGGGGAGAATGGACTGGGAGCAGCCCTGGGAGAAGGAGCTGGAGATTGGTGGGGGAAGCTCCACAGGGCCTGGCCATGAGCACTGGGACCTGAAATCCCTGTGCCCTGGGCTGATCTCACAGGGTGGGCAGAGGAAAGGGATTGGGATTGTGTCCCTGTGCCCTGCTCAGGGTGCCCAGAGCAGCTGGGGCTGCCCTGCATCCCTGGCAGTGCCCAAGGCCAGGCTGGACACTGGGACTGGGAGCACCTGGGACAGTGGGAGGTGTCCCTGCCATGGCAGGGGTGGCACTGGGTGGGATTTATGGCCCTCCCAAGGCAGCCATTCTGTGTTTCTGTGATTGCCCAGAGGGATGCAGCGGCACTGCCCTCAGTGCCAGGCATGTGCAGGTGGTGCCCAGGTGAGGCTCACCTGCTCCAGCTCCTGCTCAGCGTATTTCTGCCGGCTGAGCTCGTTCTCGGTGCCCTCGCGCAGCTCCCGCAGCCGGTGCGCCTCCTGCTTGGCAATGCTGATCTCGTCCTGCAGCTTCTTCTCCAGGTGCACCTTCTCCACCTCCACGGAGCGGTGCTCCTCCTGCGCCTTCTGCAGCCTGCAACACACACACAGGGCCAGGGCCAGTGCTGGGCAGCTCCCTGCAGGCAGCCAGGGCCAGGGCCAGGGCTGGGCAGCTCCCTGCAGGCAGCCAGGGCCAGGGCTGGGCAGCTCCCTGCAGGCAGCCAGGGCCAGGGCCAGTGCTGGGCAGCTCCCTGCAGGCAGCCAGGGCCAGGGCCAGTGCTGGGCAGCTCCCTGCAGGCAGCCAGGGCCAGGGCCAGTGCTGGGCAGCTCCCTGCAGGCAGCCAGGGCCAGGACCAGCGCTGGGCCAGCTCCACAGACCCTGCAGGGCCAGGACCAGGGCTGGGCCAGCTCCCCCAGAACCCTGCAGGGCCAGGACCAGTGCTGGGCCAGCTCCCCAGGCCCTGGAGGGAGCCAGGACCAGGGCTGCCCCCCAGAGCCAGCTCTGCTCACCAAATCAGCCCTGTGCTCTGCTCTGCCCACCAGGTCAAATCCTGTGCTCTGCTCACCAAAAGCAGCCCTGCCCAAGGGATGGCAGGGAGACAGTTCACTGTGGCTGGGAATAAAGGAAGTTGTCAACTGCTCGGTCTCAGCTTGATTCGTTTATCAAATGGATGCATTTTCTTCATTTCCCACAGCACACCCAGGTTTCCTCTAATGAGTCTCAAATTAAGGTCAATTTTTGGTATTTTCACCCAAGTGAAGACTTCGATAAAACAAAGCAGGGGAAGATCTGCCAGAGCCCATCAGACCACTCAGATGGGATGGATCCACATTCCTCCCACAAAATCCTGCAAATTCAGACACGGCTTAATCCTGCCTGGATGCTCTTATTCCTCCTCATGACAGACTGAATCAGCAGGAATATATGGCAGCAATGAAACCCTGAATCCCCATGGATCAGTGGGATCTTCCATGAGGAGCTGGCCTGTGCTGAGGCTCCCAGCAGGGCTGTGAGGCTGACAGGGCACCAGCTGGGCCAGTCACCCTCAGAGAGGATCCGAGTGTCACCTGTCCCAGGGGAGACTGCACCCACCTGGAGCTGCCCCAAGGGGCACTGAACAGAGACCAAGAGCTGCCCCAAGGGACAGACACCATTGGCCAAGACCATTACCAAGGGGAATTGAACAGAGACATGGAGCTGTCCCAAAGTGAAGATGACAAAGAGCTGCTGCAGAACTGAAATCACGTTCTGCATCATCCCCAGCTGGGACAGGCCCTGCTGGCACAGGCTGGCACAGCCCTGCAGTCACCAGGACACCCACACACCCTGCTGGCACAGCCCTGGGTCCTGTCATGCCCTACACCCAATGTCCACTCACACAAGTGACACACTGGTGACATATCCCCCTCATGCCTGGCCATGGGGATGACCATGGGATTTGGGGGCACAGTTGAGGGGTCTTTATGGTTGTTTTTAGCTGAGTGGGGCAGGGGCAGCACACAAGGATGGGGTCATGCACGGGCACCAGGGCTTGGCTGCTGCAGCTGGCTTGGGACAGAGCTCCCCCAGCACCAGGAACAGCAGTGAGACCACCCCAGCCATGGCATGGACACCTCCCACTGTCCCAGGTGCTCCCAGCCCCAGTGTCCAGCCTGGCCTTGGGCACTGCCAGGGATGCAGGGGCAGCCCCAGCTGCTCTGGGCAAGCAGGGGGCTCACATTCCAGGAGCTTCCATACAATCCACACATCTCCAAAACAGACCCGCCCACTCCTTTCGGGCTTCAGTAGGATGTGCCAAGACTTGATGATGTTGATGAGTCACTTAATGGCCTGGGAAGTGCCACTGCTGCAGGGTGTTCTCCAAGGTGCTCTGGAGCTGAGTAAAGGCTGGGGTTTGGTAGGAACATTCCCAGCTCCTCAGGAGCATGTCTGAGCTGCTCAGCAAATTCCAGCAGCACTGGCACTGGAGAGGCATCCTGTGCCTTCCAGAGGGCTGCTCAGCGCTGAGCTTCACCCAGCCAGCACAGCAGGGCCTTTCAAGCCCTGAAAGTGAAGCCTCTGAGCAGAACTGCAGCACAAATTCTCCACAAGTCTTGAAGCACTGGGGCTGTCCGGAGTTTTCACTGTTCCTGTGGCAGCTGAAGATCCCAGCTGGACCCCACTGGGCAAGGATGAGGAAGAGAAGGGATATTTCCCCCTAGAGGCCTCCCAGTTCACCTCCTTTCCTCCCAGGGATGAGGAAGTGAAGGGATATTTCCCCCTAGAGGCCTCCCAAGGCCCCAGTTCTCCTCCTTTCCTCCCAGGGATGAGGAAGGGAAGGGACATTTCCCCTTAAAAGGCCTCCCAAGGCCCCAGTTCACCTCCCAGTCCCTGAGCCCCTGCTCAGTGCCCTCTGTGGAGGACGAGCCCTGCCGAGTGCTCTGGCTCAAGGCTGTGCAGAGTCCCAGAGGTTTTGTGTTTCCTCCTGAGGAGCTTTAGAGCATTAGTTGAACTTCCCAGGAACATCCATCCACTTGTTTACGTGGCTCTGCCCTCAGCAGCAGGGCCCAAGGTCGTTCCCCACAGGCACATTCCCAGTTTGGAGCTCAGAGGTGACACCCAGTGAGCCCTCCTGCCCTGGACAGTGCTGCTCCACGGATGGACATGGAGAAGGGATCCCTATCTCCTCCCAGATGCAGGAAAAAGAAATCAAACCTTCTTTGGGAGTGCTTCCAAGCTGTAACACAAAACTCCACGAGGCCGTGTGGAGCCAGCTGTGGGCTGGAGCCACAGAGGGGAGTGGATTTGTGCCAGGGGAACGTGCCCAGCACGGCCCCATCACCTGGGAGCTCTCTCCTCAGGGACACCAACTGGTGCTACCCTGTTGCCATTATAGTGCAAGAGCTCTGTATTGCCAGAGTTTCATACCTCTTTGATGTTTCCTGTAGGCACCTCCTCTAGGCACTAACTGCAGTTCCCACCAATCCACTCTTTTATAACACTCTTCTGATTGGCTACAGGTGTGGCCTGTTAACATCAGGCCTGCTCCTAAGCTTTAGTAATTGGTTCAGCTGCAACTCTTTGGGGGATAAGATTACATTCTGTACCACCTTCATTTACCCATATTGTATCCCCCTACACCGCCCCACTGGGGACCAGGAGCCCTTGCAGCAACATTCAGGGGCAGGGTAAGGCTGTAATGGGCTCCTAGGCCATTACAGTGGGGCTGCAGCCCTGGGGATGCACTGCACAGATTCCCAAAAGCTGGCTGGCTGCAGGTCTGACACCCTCAGGACCCTGGTGTCTGCACAGGGCACTCATCACACCCCGTGACTGGCCTGGCATCAAACTCATGTCCACAGAAGTCACTGGAAATGCAGCCATCAGCTCACAGGGCAGCCTAGTTAATGTTTATCCTCCCAAATTCCACTGAAACCTCACAGAAAGTAGTTCAAGCCCCACGCTATCTCTGCTCTGTTATTTGCTAAATCTGCCCTTATAATATTCCACTACCAGAGCACCCCATGGGTTTGTCATCACCAGGGCTGAAGGCTCTTCCCTGTCCCAGAAGATCCCTGTCCAGAGGCTCTCTTGGAGCCTGTTCTCCCATCAGTAGCTCTACTGGAACCACTGCAGTGATTCCTGGGAATAGAGACCCCATTCCTGAGGTTGCAGGATCTGATCCATATGCCAAGATATTCCTATTTAATACTCCAAAATGATGGGTTTTTTTCACTTTTTAAATAACACCTTTTGACTCAGGTATTGCTTCCCCACACAGCTCCAAGAATTCAAGAGGGGATGTGTAAATCCCTGATTGCTCCCACACACTTTTTCCCCATCAAAAGCCAAGGTGAAACAAGTTTGGATGACAAATTCCATGTGAGCTGGATTGCACGGCAGGATTGGGGCTGGACAAGCTCTAAGGCCCCTTTGAACCCAAAGCATTCCCTGGTTCTGTGACTAGGAAAGAACAGCCTGGTCCAGGAGTCCCTGCAGGAGGAGGCAGGCCCCTCTCTGAGCTCCAGAGGCTGCTGGCAGCTTTGCCAGTCCCTCAGGAAGGGGCTGACTCCGGTGTGAGGCACCAAAACAGGCATTTCCTGAAATCTGAAGGAATAGAACAGGAAGAGCTGAGTGCTCCAGCTGGATGGACAATGGGAACCTACCTCTCCTGCAGGTCATGGAGAGACTGCTCTGCCCTGTGGAGACCCTCCAGGTCCTTCATCATCTTCTTCATGTGCTCCTTGGAGTAGCGGTTCTGGATGTAGGCGAACCAGCAGCCGCCCACGCCGATGACGATGGACACCACCAGCATGAAGTCCTTGAGGTGGTTGTGTCGAGTCACTGCAAGAGACCAGAGACACTGCTGGGGCCAAAGGACCACGGGGAGAGCTCCAAAGGGCTCTGCTGCACCACAGCGGGACAGGAGAACTCAGGGCAGTCGTACAAGGAACTGTGGCAGAGGATTCACCGAGGGGACAGTTGAGCTGTGTCAGTATTTCAGGAGGAAAACAGAGGCTTGACAACATTTATTCAATTTGGAGACGGCAACAACAACACAAAAGATGAAATTGCAAATCTTCCAGCTCCATTTTCCTGATAATAAGTGGTACAGGGGAAACTGCACAGAGGAACCCCCCTCCAGAATGGCTGTGATCCCACAGGGCAGCACAGGTAACTAAGAACAAAATAAGCACTTGGAACAAAATAAACACTGCTGAGATCACAGAGCTGGGGCAGCTCAAGAGTCCAACTGTCAAGCTGCCAAGCTTTCCATCAGAACCACAACTCAGTGTGGAAATTCCCTTTTTCTACAGTTAATTCAAAAAAAGGTGTTGATGCATGTGAGAGGATGAAAGTAATTAAGTGGGGCTCAAGTGCTAAACAAAGCCCAAAAAGATGAGTCAAGCAGATTTTTTTCCTGTAACTCAACCAAGTGTGTGCTGGAAAAGCCACAAATGAAAGAGCAGCTCAGTACAGTGAGCTGGGACTTAATGACCAGTATCCACTGGTTTTGAACAAACAACAGGCAATTCACACCAGATCCAGGGGGAAAATACCTGTACTGAGGGGAGCAGGCCCTGGCACAGGGTGCCCAGAGAAGCTGTGGCTGTGGAGGTGTCCCTGCCATGGCAGGGGTGGGTTAGACAGGAGCTGAAGCCCCTCCCCAGCTAAACCACATCTGTCACACTGGTAGAGCTGGGGGGACAGGAGGGGACCTGGGAGGTGGAAACCTGAATTGGGAAGGCAGAGCACAGCACGGCCTGACCTGGATGGACACGTGGGGACAGGGCTGCTGCTCCCTGCCCATATTGCAGAGGCTTCCCCTCAGAGGGAGAGGGACAGGAGCCCTCCCCAGGGCCCAGGAGACAAGCAAGCACCATCTCCCCCAGCAGCACCTGTGGCCCATCACTCCCTGCAGGCACCCAGGGTAAATCCAGCACTCAGAACTAAACAAGGTGAGTGCTGGCCCCGCTCCCCTCCGGATGGATTAGCACAACATCCTCTTCCGAGGGAGCAGATCCTGGCAAGTGCCTGCACATCCCTCAGCCTCAGTCCCTGCAGCTCCCATCTGGGGAGAGCTTTGTGTTCCACCTTCCCACAGCCCTGCTCTCCTGGGGCCATTCCCTGCCAGCCCCACCCCAGCTGGTCCCTGTCCTGCCCCTGGTGCCAGCTGGGCTCAGCTGCAGCTGGGAGTGCAGCTTTGCACACATCCTTCCTCTGCACCAGCCCTGGCCAAAGACACATCTCCCTGACTTTTTAAGATTTTCTAAGCCTTCAAATGTTTACATTCTTGTAACGAACTTTCTAACACACTTTATGTAAATAACTGATGGTTTTGCATTTTTTTATGGAGGAAGAGAAATTTGATGGACTGTTGGTTTGTCCAGTATCATTGGAGAGGTGGCATTGTCACCTTCCAATCCACTGTCACTTTTAGAAATCTATAAATGCTGGAGTCAGAAGGTAAACTTCCCATTTTTGCCTTGAGAAAAGCAGTGTGTGCACATCATGTTATGTCGTGGCCTACAGTGACAGGCATGGGCATGAGAAAACTCTGAGGAAAACCCAGCTTGGATGGAAATGTAGAAGCATGGAATACCAGGATGGTTTGGGTTGGAAAGGACCTCAGCGCCCACCCAGTGCCAGCCCTGCCATGGCAGGGACACCTCCCACTGTCCCCAGTGCCCAGCCTGGCCTTGGGCACTGCCAGGGATGCAGGGGCAGCCCCAGCTGCTCTGGGCACCCTGGGCCAGGGCCTGCCCACCCTGCCAGGGAACAATTCCTCATTGCCAAGATCCCATCCAGCCCTGCCCTCTGGCACTGGCAGCCATTCCCCCTTGGCCTGGCCCCACAGAGCAAAGGGGTTCCAGCCCTGGGAGCATCTCCATTTTCTCACCTTCACTGTAGATGCTTTTTTCTGCTATCTAATCCCAACCAACACTCCTGCAGCTCCAGACCTTCCCCCCTTGCTCAATCATTTTGCTTCTTTCAAACACCAAGCCCAGGCAGAGCTGCAAACCCAGCAGGACATCAAGTCCTGCAGCTGAGCAGAACGATCAGTCTGTGATAAAACTGTGCCTGTTCTCCTTCCTTTCCCAACAGAAGGAAATGGGAAAGGTGGAGAAGTCTGTTTTGCATGGTGTACATGGCTTTTCCTGCAGCCTGTGCAGGTGTAAGGTGAGCCCAGGCCTGCCTGCTGCTGGGAGCAGCCACGGCCACAGGGGTGCAGGACAGGCTGTGCCAGCCCTGCTGAGGGCCAGGGACAAAGCCAGGGGATTGAAATCACAATCAACTGCACAGGAACAATCTGAGGCTCTGCCAGGTGCCCTCAGTCTCTGGCCCAGGGCACAGGAGCAGCAGGGAAAGAGATGAAATTACAGAAAAGTCTGTCCCAAGTTCAAAAGCAGCAGAGCTGCACCTGCAGAGCCTCCAGCCCTGGGACACCAACAGCAGGAGCAGCTGGAGCTGCTGGAGAGAGCCCAGCAGGGCCACAGGGCTGGAGCCAGGCTGGGAGAGCTGGGATTGTCCAGCCTGGACAGGAGAAGCTCCAGGGAGAGCTGAGAGCCCCTGGCAGGGCCTGCAGGGGCTCCAGGAGAGCTGCAGAGGGACTGGGGACAAGGCCTGCAGGGACAGCACCCAGGGAATGGCTGCCAGTGCCAGAGGGCAGGGCTGGATGGGATCTTGGCAATGAGGAATTGTTCCCTGGCAGGGTGGGCAGGCCCTGGCACAGGGTGCCCAGAGCAGCTGGGGCTGCCCCTGCATCCCTGGCAGTGCCCAAGGCCAGGCTGGGCACTGGGGACAGTGGGAGGTGTCCCTGCCATGGCAGGGCTGGCACTGGGTGGGCTCTGAGGTCCCTCCCTACCCAAACCATTCTGGATTCCATGTTTCACCTGAAGTTGTGCTATTTTGTGCCAGATAAATTCCTGAATCACAGGAACAGGACCCCAAACGGACAGACACAGAAGAAGGAATCATCTCATGTTGCTTAGACTATAATTGTTCCACGCTCCCTTGCACTTGGATTAATTACAGAGCTGGAGTGGTCAGACCTGTTTGCTGGAGGAAATGGCAGGGCTGGAGCCTGGCAGCAGGAACCAGACCTGGAGGGATGGCAAGAGCCTGCAGATCCACATGGAAACTGGCCATGGAATCCGGCTGGAACCTCTGCCACGAGCCAGACACCCACCCCTGGAGCCCTGGGTTTGGAAAACCTTCACCCAGCAGCAGGAGCAGCACTGTGTCCAGGTGCTGTGATCCCCACAGCAGCAGGGTGTCTGGATTTAGGAGCCTGCAGGAGGCCTGGGGCTCCAATTGAGGCTGCTTTTATCAAAGCTTTCACACCTGTGGTGAACAGAGCTTCAGGAGAGGAGACAAACCCTTGGAACTCTGTACCTGTGCACCACATCCCACTGCCAGCAGCTCAGAGACCCCCAGAGCCCAGCTGCCCTCCAGAGCCACCTCCCCTGACCATGGGAAAGGAGGTGTAAAGCAGCTTCTGCAGCTTGAAAGGTCACTGAGCACTGCCCAAGCTGCCACTTGCTGCTGGCTCCTGAAAGGTGTTGTGCAATCCATTCCTGAAGGAATTGGTTTGGATAAACAACCTCTCCCCTTGAGTGGAGACAAAGCCATTCAGATGACCAGAAACCAGCAAGTTTTACCTTCTGAAAAGGGATCAATCTCTCCTTCAGCTGCAGATTTAAAGCCTATTTCCACTTCTCTCACACCCCGTATATGGAACCATGGAATGGTTTGGGTTGGGAGGGACCTCCAAGCTCATCCCATTCCACCTCCTGCTGTGAGCTGGGACACCTTGCACCAGCCCAGGCTGGCCTGGAAAGCTCCCAGCAGGAGCTGAGAGGGGTGTGAGCAGCCCTGGCTGCAGAGCAGCAGCACGGCTCCCTGCACACTTTGATCTCTGTGCCCCAGGGAGGGTCAGGCTGCAGGGCCAGGGAGCTGCAGGGCAGAACAAACAGCTCCAGCATGGCAACAGGCATTCATTCCCAGCCAGTACAAGCCATTCACTCTGCCATTTACACAGCACAACAACTCTGGAAAAATCCTGCCCCCAGCACAGGAGTCGCTGGGCTGGAGCCACCCAGGCATCAAAAAGCTTCACATTTAACACAAGCAATAAATAAACACCAACCTGTGCCTGTGCAAAAGAGGCTTTTCAATAACCGTGAGCAGAACTGGCTGATTGTACAAGCCAGGCTTGGGATTTGCTCCCTATGGCTCTGCCAAGCCTCACACTGTGGCTCACACTGTGCAGGCAGATTTCCCAGAACTGGGTGGGAATGGCTGGAGAGCAGCCCTGGGCAGAAGGACTTGGGGGTGCTGGAGTGGGAGAGGCCAGGAATGCCCCAGCCACGAGCACTGGGACCCCAAAATTCCCCAGCATGGGGAAGATCCCCCAGCATGGGCAGCAGGAAAGGGGGGTTCCACCCCTCTGCACCCAAAGCCCAGGAGAAAGCCATGCAGAGAAGGAGAGAGACAAAAGCACCTTCAACAGGGAGCAGACAGGAGCCAGAGGGAGCTGGGAGCACCTGGAGCGTGGAGACACACGTCAGAGAGCTTGAGATCCTGATAAGGCATCAAAGGAGCCCAGGGCCTCCCACCACCACCCTAAACTTCCCATCCAGCCTGCTGCTCCCCCCCTCCTCCAGAGGTGGGTAGTTCACAGCCTGAGTCACCAGCAGAGCCTCAGGACAGGACAGTGGAGCCCCAGGAAAGCCCAGGAGATGATGACAGAGCTCCAGGACATGGCAGCAGCTGCCCTGGGAGCAGGCAGGACAGGGCTGCTGCCCTCTAGCACCATCAGCAGCGCAGAAGGGCAGCAGGTTTTACCCTGTGGGCACAGGAGATCCCAGCAGCACAGTGGGAGATCCCAGCTGCACCTCTGGGAGAGCCCTCTGAGATGGGAATGCCAGCCCAGGATGCTCCAGGCTACAGAGCTGCTCCCACAAACCCAGGACAACCATTCCTACTCCAGGGTAGCTGTGCTGGGATGACTCCCCTGGCTGAGGCTGCACTTTGGGTCACCCAGAACTGGCTCTGGTGCCCAGTCTGAGCAGAGCTGTGGCCCTGGGGTGGTTCCCAAGGCTGGCAGGTGGGTCTGGTACTCACACAGAGGAGGCCCGAAGAGCACCGTGTCCAGAGCCTTGAGCTGCAGCTTCTGCCGGTGGCTGCGGTCGGTCATCTTCAGCACCGTGCCCATCATGGTGGCATTGTTCACTGCCAGCCTGCACAACAGGGGGACAAAAAACTGCTGTGGGCACAGCCACCAGGGCCAGCAGGCATCAGGGAGATGCAGAGCAGGGCCTGGGAGCTCCCTGCTACCAGGGCAAATCCCTCACTGCTGCTGTCTCTAACCAGGGTGTCTCCAGGACACTTTGCAGCAGCATTTTTAGGACTGGGAGAGAGCAGGAAAAACCAGGGCCAGGCCTAATTCATTACCTGACAGCATGAGGAACTGATATCCCATCAAAACCCATCTTCTGGTGTCCTACCAATCACTATTAAGTATTTTTTTAACCAAATCTCCATTGCCTTTACATCCTGTGTCACAGACCACAAACCACAGTTCTCCCTTGGAAGGGATGTGGACACTCATTGGGCTGCCTCAAAACCATCCTCATTTTATCCCCAGTTAATCCTTCCTTCCCAGTCAGTTGAGAAGGCCCTTTTTCAGCAACAGGAACCTTTATCCAAAAAAGCTGCACTGAGGTTTTTCAAACCTGTTACAACTTAGGATGACTCCCAGCCAGTGCTCCTCTTCCATGGAATCATGGATGGTTTGGGTTAGGAGGGATTTTAAATCCCACCCAGTGCCACCCCTGCCATGGCAGGGACACCTCCCACTGTCCCAGGTGCTCCCAGCCCCAGTGTCCAGCCTGGCCTTGGGCACTGCCAGGGATGCAGGGGCAGCCCCAGCTGCTCTGGGCACCCTGTGCCAGGGCCTGCCCACCCTGCCAGGGAACAATTCCTTCCCTGTATCTAACCCAAATTTCCCCTCTTTTCACTCACAGTTGGAGCAGAACTGGGCAGCGCACAGGCCAAGGAACTGCAGGTGATGAGAGGAGCTAACTCCTGCCAGGCCTGGTGCTTTCCCTGCACACATCCCATGGGGACACTGCGGGCACTGCCCTGGGCCTGGCACTGCCCGGGCCTGGCACTGACCTGGGCATGGCGTGGCCGCTGAGCTGCAGCTTGCGGAAGGTCTCCTCGTACTGGGGCAGCTCCACGTAGGAGATGAGCCACTGCACCACCTCGTCCACCGTCCAGTTGTACACTGCAGAGAGCACAACAGCACAGCTCATGGGGGGCATGGACACCAGGGAGCCACAGCTTGGGGCTGGCAGGGACCTCAGAGCCCACCCAGTGCCACCCCTGCCATGGCAGGGACACCTCCCATTGTCCCAGGCTGCTCTCAGCCCCAGCTGCTCTGGGCACCCTGTGCCAGGGCCTGCCCACCCTGCCAGGGAACAATTCCTCATTGCCAAGATCCCAGCCAGCCCTGCCCCCTGGCAGTGGGACACTCCAGGCAATCCTGCAGGACCTCAGCCTCCCCCTCATGGGACCATTTTTGCCCAGACTCAGGAACTCCTGAGGTTCTGCTGCCCCTGAGCCCCCACAGACCCCACATGGCACGGGAGGAGCTGCCTGGAGCTTTCTCTGTCACAACACACCTTTCCCAGGGCTGGTTTGCCCCTGTGCTCCCAGTTCCCAAAATTAACACATGCAATGAGGCCATCAGATAGAAGAGCAGAGGAGGCTCCACCTCGTGCCATGGCAGCAGCAGGGCTCGGGCTGGGCACCCTGGCAGGGCCAACACCCACAGTGCTGGCAGGTGACCCAAAGCTGGTATCACTGGGGTTTCCATCAGCCAGGTGATCCTGCTGCCTCCACTCTCCAACAGGGAATGCTCATCCTCAGCACGTGCCCAAAGGCCCTGAATTCTGGGGTCAGCTCCCAAAGCCTCACCCCCTACTCCAGACCTGGCACAGGGTGCCCAGAGCAGCTGGGGCTGCCCCTGCATCCCTGGCAGTGCCCAAGGCCAGGCTGGACACTGGGGCTGGGAGCACCTGGGACAGTGGGAGGTGTCCCTGCCATGGCAGGGGTGTCCCTGGGTGGGCTTTGAGGTCTCTTCCAACCCAAACCCTGCTGTGATTCTGGGATCCCCTCTGAGCTTTCGCTAAGCACACACCGAGCAGTGCCAGAAAAAATCCATCGGAAGCAGCTTGAGAAAGGATCTGTGGGAGGAGGTGGAGCAGGTGCTGCAGCCCAAGTGAACCAGGTGAACTCTGCTCCTTAACCTCTTCCCCAGGCATCTGTGCATTATTTATGGGGCTGTCATGCAGCTCCAGAGCCATAAGTGAGGAGACCTTAGGAAATCAAGCTCCTGCCTTTGCCACTTTGTTGTGCTGCACTTACAGCAACGCTCTGAAGGCAAACACAATCCCAGAATCCCAGACTGGGTTGGGTTGGGAGGGAGCTCACAGCCCACCCAGTGCCACCCCTGCCATGGCAGGGACACCTTCCACTGTCCCAGTGCCCAGCCTGGCCTGGGGCACAGCAGATGTGTTTACTGGACAGAGGGGGCTTTGTTACACCTGAATTTATCATCCCCTGGCCCCGTCCCTGGCAGGGCTGCATGGCTCTGCTGCAATGCAACCCTGACTGGGCCCACGAGCACAGAAACATCTGCCCAAGCTCCAGGGAGCCCAGTGCCTCCCATGGGGAGCTGAGGGGTGAGGGAGAGGAGGGATGAGAGATCTGGGAGATGAGGGAGCTGGGGGACACGGGGGAGCTGAGAGAGATGACGGAGCTGGAGCTCAGAGATGAGGGAGATGGAGGTCAGAGAAATGAGATGAGAGATCTGGGAGAGATGAGGGAGATGGAGCTGTGAGAACTGGGGGAGCTGAGAGAGATGAGCAAGCTCCAAGAGCTGATTGAACTGATGAAGTGGAGAAAGATGAAGATGAGGAAGCTGAGGGAGCTCACAGACCTGAGGGAGCTGAGAGAGATGAGGCAGATGGAACTCAGAGAAATGACAGAGATGCGAGAAATGAGGGATCTGGCAGAGATGAGTGAGCTCAGAGATGGAGCTCAGCGCTAACTGAGTGGATGAAGCTGAGGGAGATGAGGGAGCAGAGGCAGAGCCCAGCACCAAGCAAGGACAGCAAGGCTCCATCCCCATGGACGCTGGCACGGTGACCCAGCTGCAGGGTGGCACAGATGATGCCACCAACCCTCCCTACAGTGCTGGTCACTGTCCCACACACTGGGGCACACCTGTGGCATCAGCAGGATGGCAACGATGGGAGGATGGGAGAAGCCACAGGCCCTGCATGGTGACATCACCAGCACGTGCCACAGGACATGGGCCACATCCCCAGCAGCAGCAGCACTGCTGCCCTGGGCTCTCCAGAGCCACATCCCCACATCCCCAGCAGCAGCACTGCTGCCCTGTGCTCTCCAGAGCCACATCCCCACATCCCCAGCAGCAGCAGCACTGCTGCCCTGTGCTCTCCAGAGCCACATCCCCACATCCCCAGCAGCAGCAGCACTGCTGCCCTGTGCTCTCCAGAGCCACATCCCCACATCCCCAGCAGCAGCACTGCTGCCCTGTGCTCTCCAGAGCCACATCCCCACATCCCCAGCAGCAGCACTGCTGCCCTGTGCTCTCCAGAGCCATCAGGCCACATCCCCAGCAGCAGCACTGCTGCCCTGTGCTCTCCAGAGCCACATCCCCACATCCCCAGCAGCAGCACTGCTGCCCTGGGCTCTCCAGAGCCATCAGGCCACATCCCCAGCAGCAGCACTGCTGCCCTGGGCTCCTCCAGAGCCACATCCCCACATCCCCAGCAGCAGCAGCACTGCTGCCCTGGGCTCCTCCAGAGCCACATCCCCACATCCCCAGCAGCAGCACTGCTGCCCTGGGCTCTCCAGAGCCACATCCCCACATCCCCAGCAGCAGCACTGCTGCCCTGTGCTCTCCAGAGCCACATCCCCACATCCCCAGCAGCAGCACTGCTGCCCTGGGCTCTCCAGAGCCACATCCCCACATCCCCAGCAGCAGCACTGCTGCCCTGTGCTCTCCAGAGCCACATCCCCCCATCCCCAGCAGCAGCACTGCTGCCCTGGGCTCTCCAGAGCCATCAGGCCACATCCCCAGCAGCAGCACTGCTGCCCTGGGCTCCTCCAGAGCTCCTCTCACTCTGTATGCAGCCATGTTTTTTGGGGAAGAATCCCTGAGAAGCACAGGCACAGATGAGCAGGACCCTGCCCTGCCTCCTCTCCCCAGGGGCTGATCTGGCATCACTTCCATGGCTTTGGCAGAGCAGGCTCACCCAGATGCCATCCCTCAGACTCAGCACCTCATAAGGGCATCACCACCTTTATCTTCTGCCATAATTCAGGGGCAGAAATATCTTTTTACTTTCCACATGTGACCAGGAACAGCAGCCATGGAAGGGAGGAAAAGCAATGGCTTGAAAACAAATGGCACAGGCCCAGCCACCCCGTCCCTGTGGGATGTCAGTGCCCTTCACAGCTGCTTTTCACACCCCCAGGAGGGAGCAGACCTTTCCTACAAGCCTGATTCATGACTTCAGCTCCAACTCCAAAATTAGGCTTCAAATTTCGCTGGCAGTGTCCCAGGCCAGGTTGGACACTGGGGCTGGGAGCAGCCTGGGACAGTGGAAGGTTCCCTGCCTGGCAGGGCTGGCACTGGCTGGGCTGTGAGGTCCCTCCCATCCCAAACCCTCTGTGATTCCATGACATCAGAGCACCCTTCAGAAACCTCACTTATTCTATCAGCCAGATCTAAAGATGATGAAAGGGAAGACAAGAGCAGGAGCTGAGTGCAGCACTGGACACCCACTGTGCCACAGCAGCTCTGCCAGGTCCTGGCTGTGCCAGGGGCAGGGACAGAGCCAGGGCAGCTCAGTAATTAGGGGCCTGCTGAGTATCAAGGGACGTTCTCCTCCATCCCTTAATGATTTCTACCCTTTCCCAGCTGACAGCAAAAGACTCTCCAGGCAAAACCATGTGTAAACAGCCTGTAATGGGATAAATATTTCTTACAGGAGGCACTCCTTGCACACAGCAGGCACAGGGACTGGGAGTCATGGAATCACAGCATCCCTGAGGCTGGAAAATCCCTCTGAGCCCAGAGTCCAACCACCCCCAGCACTGCCAAGGCCACCCCTGACCATGTTCCCAAGTGCCACATCCACAGGGCTGTGATATCCCCCCAGGATGTGTTTCCCTCCCTGTCCTGGGCAACTGTGCCACTCCTGCAGTGATGTGGACAAGAGCTGTCAGCACATCCCTGTCCAGCTCCATGGGAGAGAGTCTGGTCTGGGATACACAGCTCTGGAATTGTCACACGGGTATCACAGAGACTGCTTTGGGTAGGGAGGGACCTTAAAGCCACCCCATCCCACCCCAGCCATGGCAGGGACACCTCCCACTGTCCCCAGTGCCCAGCCTGGCCTTGGGCACTGCCAGGGATGCAGGGGCAGCCCCAGCTGCTCTGGGCACCCTGTGCCAGGGCCTGCCCACCCTGCCAGGGAACAATTCCTCATTGCCAAGATCCCATCCAGCCCTGCCCTCTGGCACTGGCAGCCATTCCCTGGGTGCTGTCCCTGCAGGCCTTGTCCCCAGTCCCTCTGCAGCTCTCCTGGAGCCCCTGCAGGCCCTGCCAGGGGCTCTGAGCTCTCCCTGCAGCTGCTCCTCTCCTCATGCACAGCCCCACTGTGTTTCCAATCCCTGTGCAGATGCTGGACCTCATTCAGTGCTCCTGGGAATGAGAGGGGCTGCTGCACTCCCTGCAGCTGCACCCACAGCTCTGGGAACACAGAGCACATCCCACCACAGGAATTTAAGGAAGAAAAGTCAAATACCAACAGGACACAAATGAGAAACTGAAATTGCAATGGCTGGTGAACTGATCAGAAGATTAACATCCAGTATTTCAGGGAATGGACATAGATAGAACTCCTCTTTTAGAGATGAGGAGCACTGAAAAAAACTGGATTAATGATTTCTGTGGAATTCTGTGTGAAAGCACTGGGGAAGCACTTGCCAATCTTAAAAGTTTGTTCCAAGATTCCCAGGTTTCAGGAGGTTCCTCAGCAGAAGCTGAACTCCCACCACCTCCCTGGATGCTGGGATAAATAACAGTATTTTGGAACAGCTAAAAGTTATTTCTGCATGGACTGTACTGATGACACTTCCTGGATTTTATTCTCTCTTTTCACTGTGAAGGAGCTTTTCAGGTTCAGAAAGTTTCTCCTAAGGAAAGCACAACCTGCAGGAAAGCTCCCAAGCAGCTCTACTGAATATTTAGGATATTTATCACCCCATTACAATTCCATCTGGATCTGGGTGTTTGAAGAACCTGGAATTTGGCTGTATTTTACACACATTTCTAGGGCAGAGGAACAAAACAAGAACTGATCCTTTGGTGGCCACGCTCAGGTGCAGCAGGAAGAGTTTGGAAGGACCAACCCTGAGGAAATCCTGGGAATCCACACCTCAAAAAGGGAGCTGGAAGAGCACAAGGCCTGGTACAAGGGAGGAAAAAGCAGCACATTCCTCCTGAGAGCTGCACACCCTGCCCAGGCCATCTGCAATCCAAACTCTCTGCACTCTTAGGAAAGGATTTCTTGGCTTTTTGCCCTTTTTTACCTTCTGATGTTTTCCAGGCCTTCCAGAGGTCCTCCACACTGATGAGTTTGTCCTCTCCATGGAAAGTGCTGTGCTTGACTGCTGGGTCATGGTAATTCAAGTCTTCCCTCAAGAACTAGGAGAGGAATTAACAGCAGGATTAAGCTTTGGTTCATCCTTCAGGGAGATGAGGAGCATAAAAAAATCTGAATAGTAATAATTTTGATTGGAAAGCCATAATAAATCTGAATTTTAAAAAGCCCATAAATATAATGAATATATTAGAGATATAAGATATATACATGTATCTTTTATACAGATATAAGTATATTCACTGCAGTACCCCTAAATATCTCTGTTCCTGGGAAGAGCAGCCAGGAAAATATTCAATAAGTAAATACATTAAATTCCTTTTAATACATAGAAGGGATAATTAATTAGAACCTCTGGTCTTGGGATTCCAGACTTTTCTCTGAATTATAGTAACACCAAAAATTCACCTAAGTGGCACAATGAAACCAGCTTTATGTCACTGGAGTAAGAACCCAAGAATTATTACTGGATTTGATCTGCACCTTCAAATCCAAGCTGAAACAAATGCCACGGGCAGGAGGGGAGGCAGTTCCACTGAAAAATATAAATAAATCTATGTATCCCAGCTCAGTGGGGGCCCAGAGCAGCTGGAGCTGCCTCTGGATCCCTGGCAGTGCCCAAGGCCAGGCTGGAGCAGCCTGGGACACTGGAAGGTGTCCCTGCCGTGGCAGGGGTGGCACTGGATGGGTTTTTCCAACCCAAACCAGGCTGTGAAATCCACCAGTAGACAGAGAACCACTCACATTCCAGTGCCCAACAGGTGGAACCAAGCTCAAGGATAATTCCACATTCCCACCCCCCAGGACAAAATCCCCACACAGGCAGCTTCATCCCTGGGCTCTTCCATGAGCAACAGGATGATACCCACACCCAAAAAACACCTTAGAGCTGGAGATGGTGTTTTAGCATCAGACAGGGCACGGAGAAGATCTGGGCAGCTTTAGATCCCGGGCTCCCTGCAAAGCCAGGGAGGCAGCTCCAGCCTGGGGCTCTGCCCTGCTGCCCAAAAGCTGCCAGGGCTCTTTCTGCCCCCAGAACACAGGAAAATGGAGAATGTGGGGAAATGTGGGAAACGGGACAATGTGGGGAGATGTGGAAACGGGAGAATGTGGGGAGATGTGGAAACGGGAGAATGCATGGAAAATGTGGGAAACGGGAGAATGTGGGGAGATGTGGAAACTGGAGAATGCAGGGAGATGTGGAAACTGGAGAATGCATGGAAAATGTGCGTTTCAGCAGGGGCTGAGCCTCGGGGCTCCAGCTGTGCCAAGCCCTGTCCCCTGTGGGCGCCACCGTGAAGGAGCGGGAACATGGCAATGTCACCAATGTCACCGATGTCACCGATGTCACCGGCCCTGCTCCAGCCCCAGCCCCAGCTCCCACCACAGCACGGTCAGCTGCTGCTCTGTATATTTAGCTCAGGAGCACAGAAAGGAAAGGTGATCCCTCAGCTTCCCTTGGGCTCACGGGGGCCAAAACAAACCCAAGGACTCGGCGGAGGGGACGGAGCTGGGCTGGGGATGTCCCAATAAATGAGCAGGGAGAGGATGCAGGATGGGGCTGGGGGAGCTGGGCTGAGCCCACCAAAGCCCAGACAGACCTTAAAGCACATTTTCCACCAGTAGCTTCTGGGGAAAAGACAAACTCATGGAGTCCCAGACTGGTTTGGGTTGGAAGGACCTTAAAGTCCACCCAGTCCCACCGCTGGCATGGACAGGGGCCCCTTCCACTCTCCCAGACATTCCAAACCCCAGGCACAAGAAGCACCGTGCAGAGCACTGACCTACTGGCAAACCACTGAAAAGCAGCACTTCCAAGTGTTAAAGATCCCACTGATCCCGGGCCTGGAGACACCCAACGCTCTGAGCCCTGGACAGAGGGTGGATCACACCATTGCCAAGGTCCCACAGACCATCTCCAGGATCCCACCCAGACCACCCCAGCCTCAGCCAGGCTGTGAATCCACAAGGAAACTGAGTCAAACCCGAGTCTCCCCACCAAGTTCAGGGAAAGGAACACCCTGGGCAAACCAGCCAAAAGCACCAGGACCAGAACCACTGCTACAAACCCCAGGAGGACCTGGGATCACAGTGGGAAAACTCAGCCTGGGAATGCTGATCTTGGTGCTCTGAGGCCTCCAACACAAGAGGACCTGGAACTGCTGGAGAGAGCCCAGAGGAGCCATAGTGCTGTTCCAGGGCTGGAGCCCCTCTGGAGCCAGGCTGGGAGAGCTGGGGGTGCTCAGCTGGACAGGAGCAGCTCCAGGGAGAGCTCAGAGCCCCTGGCAGGGCCTGAAGGGGCTCCAGGAGAGCTGCAGAGGGACTGAAGCAGGATAAAACTTGCTGGCTGAAGGAACACTCAAAAATGAGCAGATCCACCAAATGGAATTTTCTGGAGGGTTTTTTTTCCATAGAATCACAGAACCTCCTGAATTGGGAGGGACCCAAAGGGCTCATCGAGTCCAAATTCTGGCTCTGCACAGCCCCAACAACCTCACCTTGTGCCAGGGAGCGTGGTCCAAGCTCTCCTTGAACTCTGTCCTGTGGTTTTTTTATCCACAGAAACTGCAGCTACTGGAGTGATTTTTCAAAGCTGCCCATCCCTCCCACATCCCTGGATGTGTGCCACATCCCATCCCTCCCTCCTGAGCAGCAGCTCCTGCTGGGCCCAGCCAAGGGCCAGACCCGGCCACGTGCGGGCAGCTCCCTGTGCTCCCCAACCCCAGCAGCTCCCCGGGCTCCCAGCTCCCCCAAAGGGACAGGAAACCCCTGGCTCCAAGGCCTTCCCCGTCCAGTGAGCCCAGGCAGCGGGCCCTGGCTCTGGGAGGAGCCAGAGAAAGGCTGGGCAGCAACACAAACCGTGTTTCCTGAGGAAACCAGGCTGGCAGCATCCCAGAGCCCTGGCACCGGGCAGCCACATCCCAAAGAGCCAGAGCTGCCTTTGCTGTGAGCATGGAGACAGGAATAGATCCCTAATTAGAAGATTTCCCCATGAGGGACAGTTCTTTCACTTTAATCGAGGCCACTGATGTCATCTGAAACTTCATTGAAAATTCACTTCCCAGCAGGAAAACTGCAAGGATGATGTATGGACAGTGTGAAGCTGTGGGACTCCACCCATCATTTATTTTAAAAATACCTGTGCTGCCTGTGTGTCCCCTTCTGCCCAGGCAGGGATTTCAGTCCCAACAAAACACTCCCATCACCAACCTCCAAAGGGCAGGGGCCAAAATAATAAATGAAAATATCAAGTTCTCAACCAAGCAGGAAAATGCCCATCCCTGGAAGTGTTCCAATCCAGGCTAGACCAGGCTTAGAGCAACCTGGGATAATGGAAGGTGTCTCTGCCCATGGCAGGTGGTGGAACTGGATGAGGCCTAAAGTCCCTCCTAACAGACCATCCTGGAAGTCCATGAACCCCATAAAAGGTTTAAATTTGAGCCTCCTGCATTCTTCCCAATAATCCCCCAGCAGCTGTCCCCCCACAGCCCAGAGTTAAACCTGACTGCAGGGTCCATGTGGGGGACAGTGATAACCTTGACAGGGAGAACACAGCAGGAGCCAGCTCAGAGAGGGAAATTCCTGCAATACCTCACTGAGTGGCTCCAGAGCTTATTGACAGTGAACTTAATGCAACTTCAGTAAAGGCTTAGCAGAGGTAAAGCAGCAACTGCATGGATGGAATCCAGGGACAGGGAATCACTGAGGTTGGAAAAGACTTCCAAAATCATGGAGCCCAACTGTAAATGCAACAACCTGAGTGGTCTGGCTGGGGGCAACCCCAGCACAAACACAGCCTGGGGAGAATGGACTGGGAGCAGCCCTGGGAGAAGCTCCACAGGCCCTGGCCACGAGCACTGGGACCTGAAATCCCTGTGCCCTGGGCTGATCTCACAGTGTGGGCAGCAGGAGAGGGATTTGGATTGTGCCCCGTGCCCCACTCAGGCTGGACAGCCCTTTCCAGGAGGAATTTTCCCAGTGTCCAACCTGCACATCCCCTGGTTCAGTTAAGGCCATCTCTCTCCTTCTGTCCCTGTTCCCTGGGAGCAGAGCCCGACCCCCCTGGCTGTGCCCTCCTGGCAGGGACTTGTGCAGAGCCACAAGGGCCCCTGAGCCTCCTTTGCTCCAGCCCCAGCCCCCTCAGCCTCTCCTGGTGTTCCAGACCCTTTTCCAGACCTGCTGCCCTGCTGGGAGCAGGAGCAGCCTGGCAGGGCTCAGAGGGGCTTGGGGAGTGGCTGTAGGAGCACCAAGGCAGTGATTCTGGGGCCTCCTGGAAAAACCCATTGAATCCCTCCCACCCTGGCAGTGTCTCTGTGCCAAGGCTCTGAGCACACATTCCCAGCAGTGTTTTGTACCAGGAGCTCCCAATGACTCCAATGGGAGTGGGGGCAAAAGATTTGCTCAGACACATAAAACTGCCAGCTGTGCCCAGCCCTAAGGACACGAGGCTTATTCCTAATTTAATGCCAGGGAACAGCACACTTGGGCTGAACTGGGCTGCCCAAGGCTGCCCCAGTCCCTGGGAGAGGCTAAGCTGCAGCTCCAGCCACCCAGTGCAGGGAGCTGCCTCCAGGGAAACACCTCAAGAGGTGGAGGAAATGCAACTGGAAGCTTTTCAATTGTTTTCATTACCCAGCCAAGTGGGATTGGGGCAGAGGGAACAGCCCTGCAAGCTGGGAACAGCCACCCAAAACCAGCAGCTCCTGGCACCAGGGGCCTGTGTCGTGTCCCTGGGGACTGCCACTGCCCCAGAGGGACATGGTGATGGCTGGGTTTGCAAGAGCAGCTGGGGCTGCCCCTGGATCCCTGGCAGGATTGGACCCTGGGGCTGGGAGCAGCCTGGGACACTGGGAGGTGTCCCTGCCATGGCAGGGGTGGCACTGGGTGGGTTTAAGGTCTCTTCCAGCCCAAACCAGTCTGGGATTCTGTCACCTGGGACTGCAGAGCTACCCGTGAGTGGCAGCAGATCCCTGCTCCCACGTGCTTCCTTTCAGCTTCCAACACTCTGCCTTTCCTGTTTAGCTGCCAGTTCTCCCTACAAGACAGAATTCCTCACCTCTAACAAGCACCCACCACAACTGAGGCAACACTGCAAACAAGGAGCTTTCCCTTTTCCTGCAGACTCTTATTTCCATCGGTGCTTCTATAAACAAAGAACAACAACTTTCTTTCCCTTCAATCCTTTATCAGCTAAAATCTCTCAGGCTAACACAACAAAAAGTTGCTCCTTTTTTAGCAGTGAGCACATACGGACTGAAACTGCTTTAGTTGGCTGCTGGAAGAATGCAGTACACATAAAATCATGGAATGGTTTGGGTTGGGAGGGACATTAAAGCTCATTTAATTCCATCCCCTGCCATGGGGGATGGCCCCCCTGCCATGGGGGACACCGTCCACTGTCCCAGGTTGCTCCAAGCCTCATCCAACCTGGCCTTGGACACTTTTAGGGATAGGACACCCACAGCTGCTCTGACAACAATGAAGTGATCACAAACCCCCAGCAGGGAGGAGAAGCCCCAGCAGCACTGGTGACACTGCTGAGACACCCCATGGATCATCTCAAGGTGACGTGTGGCTTCCTCTGTGCTGAGGAGGAGGCACCAAGCCTAAGTGCAGCTCTGGCCACAGCAGCCTGACTGTGAGAGCAGCCCCAGCACTGGGCTGGGCAAGGCCTTGGTGATACCTTGGGTTTTAAGTTTCTCTGTTCTGTTTTGTGTCCAGCTTTTAGCTTTATATTGAGTTATACTAAATTATATTAAGCTTTATCTTAAGCTTTGTAATATCCTCTTTACTTGGATCTTTTCACAGGGTGGGGAAGACAAAACTACCCCATTCTAGCTGGAGACTCAAGGACAATCTCTTCAAACTTCAGGCCCAAAGCACAAACAATGTGAAAAGAGGAGGGCAGGCAAGCGAGCAAGGAGGATGAAATTTCATCATTTGAAGCTATTAATCAGACAGTTAACTCCTGCATGCAAATGGACTAAAACTTATTAAAATGTGAGATCTCCTGACCAAGCTCTCTTTGCTTCCATCTTGGAGCCACCTGGGCAGAGCCATGACTGTGGCTGTGGTCCTGCCAGGGTGTGGCCTTTGAAGGCCCTTCAGTAAATACCCTCTTTATTGCCCTTAACTCCATCCAGCCCCCATTCCAGCTGCTCAAGGCCCCACTGGGCACAGCCCAGCCCCTCACCGACCTCGTCGCTCTCCTCCACGTCCACGTTGCCATTGGCATCATCGTCCATCTGCTTGTGGATGTTGCGCACGGCCTCGAAGCTCAGCTGCTCGTCCTCATCGTGGCACAGGGCCTTGTCGATGCGGCAGAACTCTGTGGGGCAACAGCAGCATGTCAGCAGCAGCACCGACCCCTGAGGCGGCAGCACCGACCCCCCTGAGGCGGCAGCGCCGACCCCTTTCAGGCAGCACCAACCTCTGAGGCGGCAGCGCCGACCCCCCTGAGGCGGCAGCGCCGACCCCCCTGAGGCGGCAGCGCCGACCCCCCTGAGGCGGCAGCGCCGACCCCCCTGAGGCGGCAGCGCCGACCCCCCTGAGGCGGCAGCGCCGACCCCCCTCAGGCGGCAGCGCCGACCCCCCTCAGGCGGCAGCGCCGACCCCCCTCAGGCGGCAGCGCCGACCCCCCTCAGGCGGCAGCGCCGACCCCCCTCAGGCGGCAGCGCCGACCCCTGAGGCAGCAGCGCCGACCCTCAATCCCCGGTGTGTCCCTGCAGCTGGCCAGGCTGCCGCAGCGGGCTGGGCCACCAGCACAGCCCACAGAGCCCGGCAGGGCAGGGCGCCCCTGTCACCCCAATCCTCCACACTCCACCAGGGCAGCTCTCCCAGCAGGGGCTGGCTGCTGCCCACAGCCCCAGCTCCGGCAGGGCAGGGCAGGGCAGGGCACCCCTCTCACCCCAACCCTCCACTCTCCCAGCAGGGGCAGCCTCCTGCCCAGAGCTCCAGCAGGGCAGGGTGTCCCTCACACCCCAGCCCTCCACAGTCCCACCAGGACAGCTCTCCCAGCAGGGGCTGGCTCCTGCCCACAGCCCCAGCTCCACGTCTCCCTTGGAGGCTGTTGGTGTTGGCACCACAAGCAGTCAGGGCGTTTGGGGAGGAAGAGCTGTGTGTTTATAAAACATGGCAATTAAAACCCTTCCCTCTTCCTGATTATGGAACAGGCTCTTCTGGCTGCTTTTCACATAACTTTCTACTTTCTAAGACTAACACTTTACATTTTGCTGCGTGCCTGAGTCCATGCAAGCACCAAACGGGGCTGATCCAGCCCTTCTATGGCACTGCCAGGTAGTGACAGAGACCCAGGGATGGGCAATCCTCAGGGACCTGGGCAGGCTGGAGAGCTGGGACCATGCCAAGGCCATGGAGCTCAGCAGGACCAAGTGCAAGGTGCTGCAGGGGCTGGGAGAACTGGGGGTGCTCACCTGGAGAGGAGATACCTGAGAGCCCCTGCCAGGGCCTAAAGGGGCTCCAGGAGAGCTGGAGAGGGACTGGGGACAAGGGAAGGGCTTCCCACTGACAAGGCGGGCAGGACAATGATGCAGCCTCCTGCAGAGGCAGGGCTGGTGCCCTGCTGCTCCCAAACCTCGGGGGGTTCACTCCATGCTAACTCAGGTGTGTCCATGCGGCCAGGGGAGCCAGCAGTGCTGTGCACTGGGGACCAAACCCGTGAGTGAACTGGGAACCTTCCCCCAGGGCTCTCTGCTGCCCCAGGCCGCTCCTGAAGGGACACCCAGAACCACACGGACCTCGGAAGAACACTGGATGCCCTGGGGCTGATTTGGGGCCATCTGGGGCTCCTCTCCTACCCCGGCAGGGCTCTCTGGTGGCTCAGAACTTGGCTGGGCCTTTCTGTGCTGGCTGCTCCCATTACCTCCGAGGCAGCGAGCAGGGACACGAGATGGTCTCTGTGTTTATGCTGCCCTTGGACATGACTCCAGAAGGAAAAATGGAGCCAGGCTAAACGATATCTCCCAAAATATGACATGGTTATCTTGTTCCGAGCCTGCGCTTGTTGTTGCAGGGGAGAACGTGGCAACGCTGTAGCAAAGTTTGGATTATGGGAAGGGAAGGTCGTGTTATTGTAAAAGTGGGTTTATTCAATTAACCCACTCCTGACCATGCAACTCCTGAGCCTGGCTCACATCTGTCCAAGGGGTTAAACCAGGGAAAGAGACCTGAAGGGATGAAGGATTGGAGGAGTCAAGGACTGAGGGGATCCTGCCCTGATTTCCTGCCACCCCAAGGACAACCCCCGGGTATTTGCAGCACAAATGCCAGGAATGAAGATTGACTGAGAGCAGCAGCAAGAGCAATAAAACAAGGCTTTCAAGAGCTGCCAGGTGCTGATAATCAACTGCACCATCAACAGCAAGCAAACCAAACCCGGGAGGAATCTGCTGTTTTCATCATGACCAAAAGGAGCCTGAATATGAGGCACAAGTGATTTAATCAGCAGACAACCCTGAAGTGACAACAGAATGGTCCCAACATTTCAGCAGCCACTCCGGGCTGTTCATTCCCCTCCCTGTTATCTCCCTTCCTCTCCCTGTTATCTCCACGGGCTGCAGCTGCAGGAATACCCAAATGAAGGAACAAAGACCAGCACCAGCCACTTTGCCTATGACTGATGAAGATTAGGCCTGAAGATCATGGCACAGAATCGTCCTTTGTGTGGGAAGGGACCTTAAAGCTCATCCACACCTTCCACTGCCCCAGGCTGCTCCAAGCAGGCCTGGAATACTGCAATCAGGCTATTCCAGCACATCTTCAGCGAACAAAAGCCTCAAAACGAGTGAGAAATTGGCTTTGTTCAAGTAAATCTCCCTCTCCAGAACGTCCAGCCCTGACTTTTGGTCCAGCAGCTTCCCCAGGAGACACCTGCTGCTCCTGCCTGGTGCTCAGCAGGGCTGTGACTCCTGAGGAGCACCACCATCACCTCCACTCCCACCCCACCCCTCTGAGTCACCGGGAACCTTCTGTCTCCATCCCCTGTTCGGTGGCTCCAGGCCTGCTCTTTATCTCCCACCATCGACTCACGGGCTGCGTCTGCCCCGCCGTGCAGAACAAAGAGTCCCTTGTCCCTCCCAAGGGGTGTCCTTGATGGGCCATTAACCGGGGCACATCAACACGGGCCGGCCTCACAGCCCTCCTGCTGCTCCTTCCATCCCTCCTGCTCACCTCCCATCCCTCCTGCTGCTCCTTCTGTCCCTCCTGCCGGCCTGACATCCCTCACCCTGCCCCTTTTCCATCCCTCCTGCTGCTCCTTCCATCCTTCCTGCTCCTTCCATCCCTCCTGCTGCTCCTTCCATCCCTCCTGCTCACCTTCCATCCCTCCTGCTCACCTTCCATCCCTCCTCCCGGCCTCACATCCTTCCTTGCTGCTCCTTCCATCCCTCCTGCTCACCTTCCATCCCTCCTGCTGCTCCTTCCATCCCTCCTGCTGGCCTCACATCCTTCCTTGCTGGTCCTTCCATCCCTCCTCACCTCCCATCCCTCCTGCTGGTCCTTCCGTCCCTCCTGCTGGCCTGACATCCCTCACCCTGCCCCTTTTCCATCCCTCCTGCTGCTCCTTCCATCCCTCCTGCTCACCTCCCATCCCTCCTGCCGGCCTGACATCCCTCACTCTGCCCCTTTTCCGACCCTCCTGCTGCTCCTTCATCCTTCCTGCTCCTTCCATCCCTCCTGCTGGCCTCACAGCCCTCCTGCTGCTCCTTCCATCCCTCCTGCTGGCCTCACATCCTTCCTTGCTGGTCCTCCCATCCCTCCTGACCTTCCTCCATCCCTCCTCACCTCCCATCCCTCCTCCTCACCTCCCATCCCTCCTGCCGGCCTGACATCCCTCACCCTGCCCCTTTTCCGTCCCTCCTGCTGCTCCTTCCATCCTTCCTGCTCCTTCCATCACTCCTGCTCCTTCCATCCCTCCTGCCGGCCTCACAGCCCTCCTTGCTGGTCCTTCCATCCCTCCTGACCTTCCTCCATCCCTCCTGCTGCCCTTCCATCCCTCCTCCTCCTCTTCCATCTGTCCTGCCACCCCTCCCATCCCTCACCCCTCAGGGCTCGCTGTCCCCACCAAAGGCTCTCTCTGCTGTCCCCACCAAAGGCTCTCTCTGCTGTCCCCACCAAAGGCTCTCTCTGCCGTCCCCACCAAAGGCTCTCTGCAGCTCTGCTTCAGGTGTCCTGCTGCCACCCCAAAGGTGCCCCCACCCAGATCATCAAAGGACCCTGAGGCCAAAGTGCTAAAGCAGAGCTGGAATTTCACTGAGCCATCGAGCTTGGAAAAGCCCTTGGACACCATTGTGTCCAGCTGCTCCCCAGTACTGCCAAAGCCACCGCTGACCATGTCCCCAAGTGCCACCACACCTGTGAAATCCATCCAGGGATGTGACTGCACCTGTGCCAGGGCTGGACAACATCTTCCATTAGGGAATTCTTCCCAATATCCACCCTGAACCTCCCCGGTGCAATGTGAAGCCATTTTCACCTACCGTGGAAGGCAGTTTGGGGTGGTTTTGTAACAGATGACAAAGATGTGTATTATGGTGGTCCTGGCTGGCACAAGTCACCTAGACTTGTTTTGTTACTCTTGTTTTGGGGGGCTCCAGCCATTAGCCACCCAAAACTCAACGGGACATGGCCCTAGACCAGCAGCTCTGGGCAGCTCTGCCTGGGCAGGGCTGGAGAGGACAATCTCCAGAGCTCCCCTGCAACATCACTCCATTCCAGACCTTCCCTTTCTCATGGGAGATTCTCTCTAACGAGGATTTTGTTTGTTTAATTTCCCTTGATTTCTTTCTGCAGGGTCCCATTATCTCCAATAATGCCCCAAGCCTCTGCAGCTTCCAGCTCTGCAGCAGCCCTGGGGACAGCACTGAACAGCAGCTTAATTATTACAATTGGCATTTACATAACTGGCTTTTATAAACATTGGGAGGGCAGCCAAGGAAAAAAAGCCCTATATTTGGGGAAAAAGAACTGTTTACATATTTCACCCATGTAAACAAGGGCTCAGTTGAACTTCCGTGCTCAGGGTTCCTCCCCTGGAACTCTGGGTTTCAACTAAAAAACGCCAAGGACAACTTCAGGAATTTTAACGAAGGCACTAAGCTGTGAGGGATGTATCCAGAGATTTCCATTCCCTCTGGAGGGGTAAGGAATAGCAAGGGGAACCCTGGAAACCCTGACATCTTGCAAGGCTGCAGAGCAGCAGCACAGAGAGCAAGGCTAAAGGGCACAGTAATAATCCTGGGTTTGCAGCTCTGATTCCCAAACATCAGAGCCTGATGGAGCTGCGAGAGCACCCAGCCATTCCCGCTGTCA